AAGGATTGTGAACGTCATGGATATGATTTCATACCATTTGCTTTTGACACCTTGGGTCATCTTGAAACTGAAGCTGTGGAAGTACTGAAGAGGGTACAAAAAGTCACTGAACAACAAGTGAATGCTGAGCCAGGAAGCTCGTCCTATGTATTCCGAAGAATAGGTTTTGCAATTCAAAAGGCTTTATCTATTCAGCTAGTAGCTAGATTCTAGGGCGCCTTAGGCCCAGCATGTACATAATATTGTAGATCACATTTCGTAATATATAGTCTTCGCTCAAAAAAAAAAAAAACGGGTCAGAAAAATACAAAAAACCCTGCCATCGCAAACAAACCCACACATTCGTATTCATACAAATATCGTATTATATTTTTTTATGCAATGTCCATCTTTATAACAAACTTGTGTGTTTCTATACCATCTTTACATATACCTCCTTTACAACAATTTTACCGCCTTACCAGCTTAGCAAATTATTCCATAGTCCAAGCTACTATGTCATCTTCAGAGTAGAGGTCATTCGACCAGCGATTATCTCCCTCCAAATAGTTTCGTCCATGCCTGATGTGCCACATGACGATTTCAGTTTGATCAACCTCCAGACGACCCTTGATATTCATTGCCTTCAATGATGCCACATCATTTTCTATAGCTCTAGCTCCAATACGTTCACGAGCAAATTGTTTCCATGCGTTGGGGGTGGCGGTACATATATCAAGAGACGAGATCCTTTCGAGTCTTCTGAGAGCTGGCGGAGCAAAGATCTCGAGAAGCTCATCGTCAAATCCTTTGCCTAAATGGATTGTTGTGAGCAAGGGACAAGAGCTAGTCAATATTTCCAATGTTTCGTATTCAATCTCAAAGAGGTCGCCAAAGCTGATGCTTTTGAGATTGCAGAGATATGGCAAGACAGCCGATACTGTACCATCACGCCAGTCGTATGCATCAACATCTTCAAGAGGACATGGAGGTACCTTCCATGGAGAAAGCGAATCCAGAGATCCATATATACCCATACAAGACGTGGCCAACCTCATACGTTTGAGACTTTGATTTGGATTCCTCAAATAGTCTCCAAACCACGAGCCAAATTCCTAATCTGAGACGTCGCGTATAGTGAAGCTTTCCAGACAAAGACAAGTTTGTAGCAAGTGCAAGACACCATCAGATTCGAGATTTCCTGGCCTTTCCAAATCTATCTCCTGCAGATTTACGGGATATGTGATGTATTCATCAATCCAGTAAGACGAGCCTCGGACAGTAAATGATGTCAAAGCAGGCACTGCTTCAAACGTATTGGCAGCGATTTCCACAGCTATTGAAGATGGATGGCAGTATGTCAGTTGTATCGCATAAAAGTAGAAGAGCATCATAGTATGACATTGCCGTGTTGTTCCTTCCTACACACATTTGACAAGAAGAATTTGGAGGTGTGGCATACGAGACAATATGGTAGAAATCACATTTGCTCTTATAGGAGGAGATGTTGTACGACCCGATCCTTGGAATTCGACGAGACATACCCAAGGACGTTCGTCGAGCAATACAGGGATCGTATGATCATTCAATGGCACAAACAAGACCTTGAGACGCTCTCTGACACAATTTGCAATACTAGTGAAGGATGCGATAGTCAAGGTAGCTTGATTGATTTCGAGATTTGTAAGATTTTCACATCGATCAACCAATACGGTCAAAGAGACCAAGTCGATTGGAGTGAATTTATAGATATGGATGCGTCTTACTGCCCTTGTGAATCGTGGTGATACTCGATCAGTATTGATTGCATCGAGTACGGTAGGTGGATTATCAGTCAAGCCAATAGATACGTATGTTGTGGAGTAGATGACATCAGCGAGTACTCTATTTGCTGAAGCCTACGCGCGCAAACGAATGACAGTTCAACGGAAATTTCGAAAAATCAGAGCATTCCAATTCGAATAGAAGTAAGCATCAGAGTCTAAACATACCAAAGTCAAGCGTTCTTTTGGTTGGAGATGCTTGAGGATGACAAAGAGTATCTCTGGCATCAAATTCAAGAAAGTAGTTTCTTCGTCTTCTTCATGAGTAAGTGGCACTAGATATAAAGCTAGTTTCTTTAGTTCATCACAATCAGTTCATCAAGGTCATGTTTGGTTGATCATGATTGTTTGCGAGCATAGCATCAGAGCTTTGCTCAAATGCTGAACAATACTGCGAGATGTTTGAAGCAGATGTTGTAAATCTTGCGACGATGCAAAGCATGGAGAGTTACCTCGAGCATCTATAATATTAATATAATTGTTAGAATAACAATAATGCATACGTTCCATCTGCTCATAAATCACAAAGCATGAAACAGGAATTCCAGGCAAGATTCTGACTTACGTGGAAGAGTTCCTTCGCCTGCCAACATATTTCCTACAGTTCTAGTCACTGGACAATGCTATGGAGCCACTCACACTACAGATGCTTCTCGTTTCCTTCCTTGACGCCCTCGCTTGTTTTGAGAAAAGTTGCGAAACAGCCTACACCTGAGTTAGGCAGTCAAACAGTGCATTAAAGCGCGATTGTACGCGTTAGTACGCCATTTTACGTGCCATATTACTCTAGTCGATATTGTAAGGGCTCATAACTGAGGGGAATCTACCATTTCACGAACAACAAGTTCATTCGATGTCGTCTTTTCAAGGCCATTATGGAGCTTCCACAGGAGTAAGTGCATTCACGCGATAGCCAGACTCCGTAGTGACTAGTCTCCGTTATAATTAGGGCGATACTGGTTTTAGAAGGACTTGGGACAAGGAGAAATATAAACGAGGTGCAGAACAGGAGGAATCTGCTCCCGATGAATCAACCAAAAAGAAGCGGAAGAAGAGTAAGCTGGGATCTAATCCTAGCTCATCGTTGGACTGCATGTGCTTTACAAGTCACGGATAAGATTCCAACACATTTGAACCATCATCAATCTAGAGACAGAACCTGAAGAAGAGGTCTCTGAAGAGCCTCAAATGCTGCGAGCACGAGACACAAAAGTAGATCTAGAGACACACTTGAACAAGACCCAAGTGGTCACTGTCTCATCTGATGCAAACAGACAACCAGGCTACTATTGCGACGTCTGTGATTGTACTCTAAAGGACTCGGTCGCCTATTTGGATCACATCAATGGAAAGAGACGTACGTATGTCAAATGCAATCACGAGCTTGTCTTGGTACTTACTTTCTCCTTCTTCTAGATCAAGGCAATCTGGGGGTGTCTATGAGAGTAGAACGTAGCACTGTAGAACAAGTTAGAGCTAAATTAGCATCTCTCAAGAAGAAAATTGATCAACCAGCACCTGAATACGGTAATTTATCATCTGAAGTGTGGTTTGGAAATTTATTTCTAACCTCTATCCGCTTACCAGATCTGGACAAACGAGTGGAGCAAATAAAGCAACAGGAAGTCAGGGACAAGGAAGCTCGTAAGCAAGAGAAGAAAGAGAGAAAGAAGAAGGATAAAGAAGAGAAAGCAGCAGCACTAGCTCCTGTCAAGGATGAAGAAGCACGACCAATGGATCCAGAAATGGCTGCTTTGATGGGCTTTGGTGATTTTGGCACATCGAAAAAGAAGAAGTAATCGCACATGAATAACTTTACTAAATACACTATTTATTTGCATACTACATATGTGTGAATAGCCCTTCCTCGTAACGACACCCCATGCGAAATCCAATTGATTCATATGCTCGTATTGCCGCTACGTTATCTTGAACCACATTCAACCCTATATACTTGATTCCGTCCTCCAACAAGTTCTTTACAAGCACTGCTGTACAAGCTTTCGCAAGTCCTTGACTACGTCTTAAAACAGATGTGGTCACATTTCCGATTTGACACACTTTGAATTCCTTTGAATATACATGTACACCTGCAATGGCAATCAATTTAATTCCTTCCCGGATTCCAAAGAAGCGACCAGTGGCAAGCATGTGTGCGCTATACGCATTTCCTTGGTATGAGGTCTCATATAGTTGATTCACAGCTACAGTATCCAACCCTGTCAACGGTACCACACGTGCATCTATAGCCATAGCAGCACCAGCGGGCGTAAACGTTCCAAAATCCATTTTAAGATGTGGTGTCCTCCATACCGCCTTATGCTTTGGATATACAAGACCAGTGTAATGGTGCGATTCAAATGTTTCTGGTAGCAAGCCATTGTTGCTCAATTCTACCAGCAGCTCCTGGAATCGTGATGGTTTGGATTCGTCAGCTGGGAATGCAAGCACCGTTGCATCATGTCCAATTCTGTAGATTGCGATGAGCTCTACCAAGATTGCGTCCTCCAGCAAGCCATAAAAGGTTGTATTGCTGAAGCTAAAGTCATCGAGATCTCCTAAATGGTATCCAAATACTAAAGGATTGAGGAAGCAAAAGTTGGCGATTGACGCCTTGTCATAGATTCTTTCAACATGTTGCTCCATTGTAGCAAGTTTGCTGTTGGTTGATGGGTAAGGGCGACTGCAGCGATCTAAGAAAAAACTATTGTTTCAATACTGTGATTACAATACGCACCTGGATTAACTCGCCAAAGACGTGAATTTCAAAGTTGTAGAATTCACGTAAATCTTTTTTTTTTTGCTACTCGTTTCTTTCTAGCTTATCACGAATAAGTTCATACCGGTCGCCAAATGAGGAAAAAATCCAAAGCTGGTCGTCAGGTATTCATTCAATTCCTCTATCATTCCTTGGTAGTTCTCTAACATGTCCTCCTTGTAATCTCAAACAGAAAACCAAACCGTTTCTCCACGAACAAAATGATGAAGATGTGGTCATTTCTGATGAAGATGAGCGACTCCTAGATGAATATGGAGAGTCTACACGTTTCTTGGCACGTCTGAATCCAACTCAGCTCGCCAAGTATGTCTCACATCAATGTAAATCTATCTTTTTTTTCGCTCACCCATTTTAAACAATCTTTGACGCAGAGATGCAAAACCACAAGCTCCCATGGATAGATCCAGTAGACCAAAAGCTACTCCGATTATAAATGCTGAAGACCTAGAAGACGATGATGATGATTTGATGGACGATGGCAATGATGCTGAGATTGAACACATGGTCGCTAAAGCTCTTGACAGCGATGCTGAAGACGAGATTGAATCTAATTATGAAAAAGTATTGGCCATGCGTGCATCGAAAGAAGAGGAGGAGGATGGTGCTGTATCTAGACTGCCACTCAGATTGGATGACGGTCGATTCGTGCAGAATCATATACGCCTCGATGGTATGCAGAGTTCGTGTTCGATTTTTTTTCGGCTAGATTGTCTGTCATTTTACTGAACACTCCGTTTGTAACCCAATATCTAGCTCCCGAAGTCAATTTGAAAGGAACTGTAAATCCAAAGAGAAGAACAAAATTGCCACCATCACCACCAACTTCTTCTGATACCGATGATGATAATGAGATGAATCAAAACGCACCGAAGACTATTGCATCATTACGTGATGTATCGTCGTTGAGTAGTCCCGAAGAAAGACGGGCGTCGCTACAGGAGACACTAGCATCTGTAGCATCTTCTATTGTGGGAGATCCTGAACAACATGTATGTCATACTGACTCCACGCTGGGTCTTTTTTTGTTGTTTGCTCACATATCACAAAATCTTATAGATGTCAGGCTTGAAAACGTTGAGAGAGCTTTCTGGAGCTCAGAATCCTGATTCCAAGATTCGCAAGTTGGCTTTATTGACTCAATTGGCCGTGTACAAGGACATCATTCCAGGGTGAATATTGCATCATTAACTCTCGTTGCTTCTTGCTTTTTTTTTGGCTCGTTGCAATATTAACATTGAAACCATGCCCTAGGTATCGGATACGCCAATTGACCGAAGCAGAAAAGAAGACCAAAGTATCCAAAGACGTTAAAAAACTCCGAAATTTTGAACAAGGACTCTTAACTCAATACCAATCCTACTTGCAAAGTCTGGACTCCATCATCGTTTCAACCCGAAAGAAGGGCGCTGACGTACCAGCAAGTCAACTCTCTGTTGCTCTCGTAGCAATAAACTGTATGGCCGAACTAGTTTCATCTGTAACGCACTTCAATTTCAGACTTAATTTGTTAAATGCCTTGATTGCTCGCATGACGGAATCGGCTGGATCACCACTGGCTGAAGCTATACCAACGTGTTGTCAGGCTCTCAAGACTGTGTTTGAGCAGGATGAGGATGGTGAAGCTAGTTTGGAGGCTGTTAAGCTGGTTTCTGAGGCTGTAAAGGCTAGAAAATATCGTGTTGATGAGCAAGTGAGTTCTTGTGAATTACGTGACGACCTTTGTTCTGTTTTTTTTGTCTGAAACTGGAATCTGATCATGTTGTCAACCAGGTCATTGAAACACTTCTAAGTCTCAGACTACGCGAAGAGTTGCCAAGTGCTCAAGAAGCTAGTCAACGTGAAAAGAAACGAAAGCGTGAGGAAGCACATATTTCACGTAAACTACGCAAAGTTGGCAAGAAGGATGGCGAGTTACTACGAGAGTTGAAGGAAGCTGAAGCCGAAGTTGATAAAGGAGAACGATCACGATTGGTATGTGTGGATTCAATGCTGTCTCATGGGGTCCATTCCTCAACTAATCTCGCTCCGTTTTTGTCACTATAGCACACTGAGACGTTGAAGTACGTGTTCGTGACGTACTTTCGAATTCTCAAAGAGGCTGAAGACTCGCCGTTGCTCCCTGCTGTTTTGGAGGGACTTGCAAAGTAAGGCACAAAAACACAACGCGCTAGTGAATAACGCACTAACGTCGTCCTTCTCTCGTTACACCTCACTAGGTTCTCACACTTGATAAATATTGACTTTTTCGGTGACTTGCTCTCTATCCTCCGTCAAATATCAGCCGCCCAATACGCAGCATACCAAGCCTCCCTAACAACACAAACACACTACAACGCCAGTAGTTCTCTACACTGTATCATTGCATCCTTCCGTCTGTTGAGTGGACAGGGAGAAGCATTGAATGTAGATTTACGTGATTTTAGTGCTGCATTGTATCAGCAACTTCCTGGTGGTATGATGGCAGCTTTGGGAAGTAGTGAGGCTTCAGATCGTGGTAATATCTTGGCGTTGATGTTGAGTGGATTGGAGTTGATGCTCCTGAAGAAGAAACAGGTATGTAGTACGGGCCTTTCTTTGTTGAATTAAAAGTAATGATGAGAAAATGGGATTACGTGATTATCAATGATGTCTTTTGTTTAAATGGAATTCGTTCCTGATAACAATTGTTCCTTCTGAACTTTTCAATTGAACTGTTGATGGTGTGGGAAAAAAAAGGATTCAGTCACTGATATCTTCTTGATCCTAGATTCCTATCGACCGAGTCGCTGCTTTTGCCAAACGAATGTTGACCATCATGACGCAACTGCCAAGTAATGGTGCGCTAGCTTGTCTGAACATTATGAGGTCTTTACTTATCGTAAGTCTTGTTGTCAACGGTTGTGTTTTGAAAGGATGTGGGCAAGATTCCGATGATGATTTAATTTTCCCGAATCTGGATGAAAACTGAAGAAAAAACAAATTATTGTATTCACACGCTGAGGATTCTGCCGCATTGCATTACGGAGTCATTTCATTGGTGCCTTTATTTTACTCGCGTAAACTAACTCAATCCATCAACTACATGCTTGTAGCGATACCCCAAACTCACTCTAATGTTAGACCCTGAAGGACGTCTCGGGACAGGAGAATACAAACCCTTCCTCGAAGATCCGGATCTCAGCAACGCATTCTCAACAAGCATGTGGGAATTAAGTCTCATGAAACGCCACTATCATCCATATGTCAGAAAACTCGCTCAAGAAGTATCTGTGGTCGATGCAAACAGTACACCAGCAGCTGCTTCTACCCTAGCATTGCAAACACCGACTAGTGTTTTTAGGAAGTATGAGTGGTTGAGATTTGGCAAGCTGGTATTTGATCCACCGCTTCCAAAGCCTAGTAAAGGGATTTTGAATGCAAGGCAGAAGCGTGCGAGGGTTGTCGAGAGTGAGGTTGCTGTTGGGTTAATTGAAGATCTGGCAATGCCTGACTTTGCTAGAGTCTGGAAGCCTGTAAAATAAGTCATAACTTGATAGCTGCGTTCGGTTGTACATAAATACACGTAAATTTTGCATATCTTTGATGTGTTTGCAGTTTGAGATCACGTCGTACATTTGTCCAAACTGAGCACTGCAGCGACAAATCGTGAGCGGAGTAAGCTGCACGGTAAGGAAGGGAACAAGCGTTATATGAATGCGTATATTAACTGGTGCTTCGTTCTCTTAGTGTCAGCATGCAACCCATAGCTAAAGACTCGAGGTTTCGGCCTTATGTTCACAAACCGAATACAGGAAAGGTACCGGATTGTAATATAGCATAATTCATTGAATTTACATCAAAATTATTATGAGTTAACTCTTTCCAAATTCGTCTCTAACTTTCAATAGACAATTGTCTCACAAACATCGAATTTAAACACTATGCAAAAGCATCGTCCAATTACAGTCGAGAGATTGCAGAAATTCATGCAATCAGGTAAGTCATTGCAGTTCCATGCAATTTCATGCACGTTCTCGGCGCGTTCGCAATGTCAGTCAACACTCACACAAATATGTTGTGATCACATTACGGGTATAGGACAATTCTCTGACGTGAATCTCCGAAGTTTTCTATGGAAGAAATCAAGTCAAGATGCAGTCAAACTCTCTGTATTTGGTGTTCCAGACATGCAACGAATGTAAAAACCACTTCGACCAATGAGCAACCACGTGTTTTGACTATTGCCAATCATTCATGCCATTTTTTGTGTTTTTAGCACCTTTCAAGACGCAATTAAGGGCGCATACACACCGACATCAGTCGGACAAGAATTTGGCCCTTCATGGTTTACCTACTGGTTTCGACTCAACATTCATATACCTGAATCGTGGGCTGGTCAACCCGTCATCTTAAACTTTGATTCAAGTTCTGAAGGATTTGTATGGTCTGCTGATGGTGTCCCGCTACAAGGACTTACTGGTGGTTCAGGTGGTGACCGCCACGTGGATTATCGATTGACGAAACAGGCTCGAGGTGGTGAAGACTTTGATTTGTTTATTGAGATGGCCTGTAATGGCATGTTTGGGAATGATAATGGTGGGATTTTCGCGCCGAGAGCAGATAGGTATGTCACCAACGAAAGTCATTTGAGTCTTCAACAAAATAACGACAATTGTTTCCTAGACAATTCAAGTTGGAAACTGCCGAAATCTGTGTCCCTGATGAAGAGGCCCATGCCTTATTTTGGGATATGGAAGGTATGTCACCATGAAAAGTCATTTCGAGTCGTCAACGGAATAACGACAATTTGCTTCTCGACAATTCTTCATAGTTCTGTTGGGCATGGCTACTGTGAGTGACATCGTTTATATTGCTTCTGCCCTTCGTTTTGCCACCAAAGTCCTCATCCATAAATTAATCAATCCACAGGAACTACCAGCGAACTCACCAGCCGCTGCTGATGCCTTGTATACTGCCAACTCTGTTTGCAACGCAGTGAAAGCTGGTAATCCCAGCTCAATCGCTGTTGGTCGTGATATTTCCCAAGCCTTTTTCGCAAAACGATCCAACTTTGGATTTGAACAGCACAAGATCTTTGCAACTGGACATTGGTAGGCTCACTTCGATGTAAATCGCTTGGTGCTGAACTAAGCTGGAGTTTTTATAGTCATATTGATACTGCATGGTTATGGCCTTATGATGAAACCAAGCGAAAGGCTGCAAGGAGTTGGGCTACTCAGGTGAGTAATTTGGTAGAGATTCAATTGTTCATTTTTTGTTGCCTAACTTTCGTTTACTTAGTGCGGGTAAGTGAACCACTTTCGTGCAGGCAAAGTCATTTACATGACGTTAATTGGCAACGTTTTTAAGGTTGATGGATGACTATCCTGAATACAAGTTCACCTGCTCGGTAAGGCAAAAAACCGCCTTTTTCAATTCGCAATATTACCCTCTGACTGGCATTCATATCTAGCAAGCACAACAATTTGAATGGATTGAAACTCTTTATCCATCTCTGTTCGAACGTATTAAGGCCAAAGTTCGAAGTGGCAACTTTGTCCCTATTGGTGGCACATGGGTTGAAATGGACTGTAATATACCTTCAGGTTAGGGCAAGGTGACTCTGGCCCTGTATCCATGTATCGACTGACAGCTTTGTATATGCAGGAGAGGCAATGGTCCGCCAGTTTCTGTACGGACAACGATATTTTGAGAGTAGATTTGGATCTAGGTGTACTACCTTTTGGTTGCCTGATACTTTTGGATATTGCTCTCAAGTGAGTGTTTGGTTACGCGCAATTTAATAACCAGCCCTAAACCAGTCTTTTTAGCTTCCCCAAATCATCAAGGGCTCTGGTATGTCATATGTGGCGTCGTATTCACGCTGTTCGTGCACTGATACGCGATTTGGACACAGGTCTCAAGTACTTTTTCACGCAAAAGCTTTCGTGGAACAATATCAACAAGGTTTTGTATTCTGCTAGTAGCTTTGTTACCTAGACATTCTTAACCTGACAGATTTTTTTTAAGTTTCCACATACTACCTTTTGGTGGAAGGGATTGGACGAAACTGCTGTACTGACACATTTCAGTCCTATGGATACATACAATGCTCAATGTACCGTCAAGGATGTCGTATTCGGGTAAGACATTCAGCGCGATTTGAAATGGGGGCTTGTTTTTGGTCATTCAGCTTATTCTGATACGGCTGAATGCATCTAGTGTCGGCAACAACAAAGACAAGGAGTACAGTACTTCAAGTCTGATGCTGTTTGGAAACGGTGATGGTGGAGGTAAAACAGCCGACTCATCTTGCTGGACTCCTGAAACCAGAATCTCTTATCTTACAATTTGATTTAGGCGGCCCTCTGGCTCCAATGATTGAACGCACTCGTCGTCTTGCTCAAATCGCTGGTCTGCCTGCTACCGTCAAATTTAGTGATGCTAACGAATTTTATGAAGAATTGAATGCCACATCTCGAGACCTGGTGGAATGGAAGGGCGAACTCTATTTCGAGTTTCACAGAGGCACATATACGTCTCAAGCCCATGTGAAAAAGAACAATAGGAAGGGAGAGTTGCTGCTTCGTGATGTAGAGATTTTGGGAGCTTTGTGTGTAGCACAAGGCATTCAGAGTTACTCGTATCCTAAAGGAGAACTTGATCGTCTTTGGAAGTTGCTGCTTCTTAATCAATTCCACGATGTTTTGGTATGTGATGTTTTTGCGGGAACAAAATCGAACTCTGGGGTTTAAAGATTCTGACCTCTGTTCATAACAGCCTGGATCCTCCATTGAAATGGCCTATGATGATGTCATGAAGGTAATCTATGCTGGTATTTTGCTGTTTATCAACCCCTCGTGCACTGATTCCATAAACGCCGAATTAGTTCTATGCCGATGTCATGACGAGCGGTAACAGTCTACGAAAAGAAGCTATGAAGAGTCTAGGCAGTCCAATGGTAGGGCAAGGAGCTCATCGTGTGACTGTATTCAATGGAACGTCTTGGACTCGTCGTGGTGAAGTTGCAGAACTGGAATCTTCCCGCATACCATCTGATCTGAAGGAGAAGGTGTTGCAGTACTCTGTCGAAGGCTTTTATGCTTTGTTTTTTGGTATGTTATTTGTTATGGCATGTTTGCAGACCAACCCAAAAAGACTCACTATGGTATCATTTTGAATCGTAACTAGTCGATGATATTCCATCATATTCATTCAAATCGTTTGAGCTTGATTATTTGCCAACTGGATTCGTCCCCGTTTCAGGTTCGTGAGAAGAAGGTCGCAATATGTGTACACTAGTATAAAACAATACGTTTTCTTGTCGGTTGTCTGTTAGTGAGCACCAGTACCGCTGACGTGTTTACCATGTCGGATGGGGACTATGTCACAGGTGCTGATAAATTATCAAAATTTCCAGATCAGTCCAGGACAGGAAACTGATCATTTATTTGCACCAATCATGTTCACTAGTTCAAGGTGGACCTCAAAGCGTGACAGTCCTCGAAAATGCATTTGTTCGTGCCACGATTGATGCTCATGGTCGAATTGTGAGCTTCTTCGATATCGTGAACGGGTACTGTTATATGCGTATTGAATCAACTTGGAATCGAGGACGAAGAGATTCTGATAATTCTACCTTCTATCCATAGACGTGAACTGATTCCAAAAGGATCGTTGGGCAACGCCTTCAAGATATTTGACGATCAGTGCCTATTTTGGGATGCGTGGGTGGGTAAAACAACAAGCACAACTTACTACATATTCCTCATACTCACCACAATCTGACCACTCTTATCGCAGGACGTAGAAGTCTATCATCTTGAAAAAGGCTGGGATGCCGGTGTAGGAACCATCAGAGTCGTCGAGAATGGTCCGTTGCGTGCTGTTCTAGCTGTAGAACATCAGATCACGGAAACGAGCAAGTTAGTGCAAAGGATCATATTGAATGCTTCCAGTGGTCGCCTTGATTTTGATACATATGTTTCATGGAATGAGAATCGCAAGATTTTGGTAAAGGAGCCTTGGATGCGTTTTTTCAGTCCGAAAACCGAAGTCCTTAATTTTTTACGCCTATTCTTTCAATGTTTCTAGAAAGTGGAGTTTCCTATGGACATTGTGTGTGATACTGCTACTTACGAGACTCAGTTTGGTTTCATACAGCGCCCTACTCATTACAACACCAGCTGGTAAGGGTTAATGCAAATCCAACTGCAGATGCCTGCTGTTTCAACTCTTTTCTTGATCGCAAATAGGGATTTGGCAAAGTTTGAAGTCTGTGGTCATAAGTTTGCTGATCTGAGTGAATTTGGATATGGTGCTGCATTGTTGAATGATTGGTAAGCGAAAAAAACCATCAAATCGTCGCTTTTTTAATACTGTACTAATTCGCCTTTCCCTTCAGCAAATATGGATATTCAGTACACAAGAATATTATGAGACTGTCTCTATTGCGAGCTCCGAAAGCACCAGACGCCCACTGCGACTTGGGTATCATTCATTCTTAAATACAGAGCTCTCAGAAGTGTACTGACACTCCAATTGATTTAGGAGAGCACGTCTTCAAATATGCATTGTATCCGCATAAAGGTACTTTTATGGAGTCTGATGTTGTCCAAGCTGGATATGAATTCAACGTGCCCTTGTACATAAGGTACTTGCCATTCATGAAGATGTTCTGTCTCTTTTCTTGCGGCTCTTTGTGCCTAGATTTGGTTAACAACCTTCTGTAGTGTTGCGTCCCCAAAATCAACTGGGATACAACAATACTTTTCAGTTGATTCACGTCATGTGGTCTTGGATACCATCAAAGTTGCTGAAGAGCCTCGAACTTCAGTTCAGGCTGACTTGATTTTACGTTTATATGAAGCTTATGGTGGTAGAGGACGAGTCACGATATCCTCTCTATTCTCGATCAAAGAAGCAAGGTTCTGCAATATGTTGGAAGACATGGAAGGCGTTGTTGAACGAGATGCTTCGGGTGCTTTGTTGGTGGATATGGCTCCTTTCAAAGGTGTGTGAATATCTTGTTGTTTTTGTCAGGAGGTCAAAGCGTCTGACGGCCTTCGTTTGAATGTAGTTGTCACTGTCAGGCTTGCCATTTAAAAAGTATTATTCTATTCCTAACTTGCTGAAATGTTTGTATTGTATGCTTCATCATTATCTTTTACCAAAAATTTGATCTTGAATGTGGGCGTTTGATTTTGAGAATCGGATCTTGGCAACCTTGCACTATCATATATGATATATGCCATATATGAATTCAACAATATCCATTTCTGCCGTCTACAAAGTGCAGAAATTTGGCTTCTGGGATCTCGACGAATGCACCTGTTCTTGTCACCGCGACAACGAGAAATGGCATCCAAAAATATAATGACACGTTGTTATCCTCAAACACAGCTTTTAAAGTGCTTCTGCTCGTCGCTTTCCCTTGAACCAACCTCCACCCAATTAAATTCGTGGCATATAAGCCCCCACAAGCCACATTGATTGATAGACTCATTACGCTACATGAAGATTAGCTATGGCAAGTATGTTGTCTTCAGATTTTGGAATACTCCAACAGCAAAGAAATGGTGTGGATTGTTTCTTGGACACAAAATCCCTGGAACGAGTTACTAAAACCGTTCAAGACGATACCTTTGATAACTTACTTACATTTTTACACTTGGAGCCTCTGAACAACACTATAAATATGTCAAAAGATATACGGAATAAACCTCTTTCTGGTAGCAGCGAATTCAGCCCATTGTTTGCCAAACTCCTTCTTGAGCATTGCTAAGTCGATCAATTATGGTTATTAAACAAGCAAACCCATATCCAGGCGAGAAGTCAAACGGATTTTTACCTTCTTCCTTCATGACACGATAAGTAGCCAGACCAACGAACACAATGATAGATAATACAGACCACAGTGGAGCAGTCTTGATAATACATTGAGGTAACAATCCAGTTGTCTCAATCCAGCTCAACTGCAATGGTAGCATGTAGCCAATGTATCCCAGCATTCCAAACCCAAGACCAGTGTAGCTCGGATGTCTCACGTGAGCATATGGTCCCGCCGTAATGAGTTTGTGGCCCTTCCTGATACCGATCTCAAACGTGAAATGTCGACCTAGTGTGGCGAAAGCCCATAATCGTATCACTGAGCCCAGAATTCCAATGGAAGCCAGTCCAATGTCGTATAATGTGACTGTTTGAGCCGATGGAACTGATTTTGATAGAATCCAGATGTATCCAGCAGCTGAGATCAGACAGAATGACCAAGCTGACAGCTTAAGAGGGAGAGCCCATGTTTGTTTGCCAAAGAAGGAACTGATCATTGGTGTCCAGACTTCCTATATTGAATAATAGAGCGTGACTATCGTAGTTCGTTTGGTTCACACTGGCAAAATAACATAATGAAAATTCACGTGGATGGGTTTGTACCTTGACTTTCTTATCATCTGCTGCTAAATGGTTCGGTGGAACGATAACTTGAGCAATGAGTATAGCCTGAATGATAGCTAACCCGGCCTTCACATACAGTTCATTCGTGAACATTGAGTTTGCTCGCGTCTTGATTTTTTGAGTGTGCAGAGGATTTGCGTGTTGACGTGTTTGCCGACACCACCTATTGACTTCACGGCCAATCATCCTGTTATTCGTTCATCCGATTATTGGTTGAAATTGAACTGTTTTGACACGTGCGTACGCAAGGAAGGTGGCGAACCATGCAGAAATGCGAAAAAAGCACGCAAACGCAGAAAATAGAGGACAAACGATGTTTTAAGATAACATTCAAAAGGAGACCAGTTGGTATTTCACCATATTCGCCCAGACAAGTATTATGTACAACAGCGGTTTAAACAACCAAGTCACCTCTTCGAGATTCTTCTCCAACCAAGTTTTAAGCAGTTTAGAAATAGTAACCATATGGAGAGTAGTAGTTGTTGTAGTAGCCCTTGTTGTAGTAGTTGTCCTTGTTGTAGTAGATTCGGTCCTTGTCGCTAAATCGGCGAGAGTTGTGACGGTGAATTTGACCATAACCAGCGAAAGGACCGCCAAAGATGCCACCAACAGAAGAACCATAAATGTTGGCATCCACTAGGTCGAATCAAGTGAGCGTGTTAGACAAACTAGCGTTCGAGTCGAAGAGACTTGAGGTTAAAGGGGTGCGTACAATCATTGTAGCGACTGAAGTGCTTGTTGCGACGCAAGTTGAATTTGTCGTCATAGAACTTGGAGTCACCACCATAGCCGTAGCCACCACCATATTCTCCTCCTCCTATATGCGAAAGCAAGTCAGAAAGGCGAGGCCAACAAAAATGAATTGGATGTTGATAGAAAAGCTCAGACCCACAACGTCCAAGACAACACATACCAGCAACACGAACACCTTCAGGGCCTTCGTCATCGTGTTGAGCGATGTGAAAGGCTTCGTCGGATTGTTGAGGGGACATATGTTGACCAGCCATACCACCGCCAGAGCGAGAAGGAGCCGACTGGCCACCACCAGGTACAGGAGAGAATGTAGCTGGAGGAGCGTTTCCTAGAGAAACCGGGGACGGTGAAGTTAGTGAGTGTTGGTTTGAGATGAAATCCTCGGGAGGTTGCTAGCAGCGAAAAAAAAGCGAAGTTGACAGAGTCATAATACCTTGTTGACCAGAGACCAAGGCAGAAGAAGCCCACAAGAGAAGAGCAACAGTGAAGGATTTCATGTTGATTTAAGTTGGTACTTGTACTGTAATGTTGCAGACTTGAGTGTAGAACAAGATTGCTGATAGATGTGACGTTGGTATGGAGTTTGAAAGTTGGGGATGGGAATCAACCTTTTATAGGTGCATGATTCAGAGTGAGAAGCTCGAGGTCAAAGCACTTTGACATATTCGTGAGAAATGTCCACACACATCCAGATCTGCAGCGATGTGACATGTATGACACACGTCATGCGGTAGAATGCACGAGACCCTTGTAAGAATGTACCATAACTTGTCGGAAAATATTATTGACGAGGTCATAATTGACGAGGCCTGAGAAATAAGTGTACACTCGTGAAGCAATAAACACGAATTTCAAGTGTTTCGAGATCGACAGGAGGGCAAGAAATAGATCCAAAGCATTAAAATGCTTCTAATTGTGCAGGCGAAGCTTTTCACTCTGAGCGATCGTCAGTTTTATATCGGAGTTTGCTCTTGTGTCGTCAAAAAAAGAAAAGACCACCGTTCAATAGAGCCACCTCGTACAAAACTCAAACCACAAAGAAGGCCACGAAGAGAGCTGTCCTTGATAGTAGGCAGGTCTGCAGTTGATACGGAGCTAGAGCCATGGCTGTAAGTCCAGAGTTTGCATTCGTTCTTTCCAATATGTTTTAACACATTCTGGCTCTCCTTGATACAGGCAGCATCACCTGCAGCTGCAAGTTTGTACATCGTCCCCATACCTATTAGGTCTCCTCGTCCTGCTGTCTATACCAATATACCAGCCATCGCTAGCCCTGCACAGGCCCATATTCTCTTTAATCTTGGAAGCGCAACGGAAGCTGGTCTCGTTATATTTGGTCTAGTGGTATTAGCTTTATTGCTGGCTGTTGGAGTGCCTGTCGGCCTGGTCGCTTATCGCCGTAGAGACGATATTCGTAGAGCGCTGGACGAACGGCGACAACGCAAGGAGGCAAGTTTTGATGACGCTCCACCCTTTCCAGGCGAGTTATATGCTAACCGCATTCAAATATCTGGTATGATTAGTATCTGAAAAAGATAAAAGAGCATCCAGAGTTGGCAGACGACTGGACTCTTGCAAATCCTGACGATGTACGCAAAGCAAGGGAAAAAAGTCGTGAATGGGACTATCAAGACTTGTCAAAGGACGGGCGATATTCGGTACATGCTAAAATATTGGGCAAAGCACCACCGTCTGCTGCCAACATAGAACCAATGCCTAGTCCAGGAACTCTATCTCGCTTGACGAGCTTCTTTAGACGATCCTCGGTAATCAGCACCAAGGCTGCCAACAGAAACTCGACACAATCATTGGAGGATGAGAATGTCTCTGTGAACAAGATGGTAGAACTACATACATATAGACCAGATGTAAAAGACGGATCGAGACAACCAGTGCAACATGAAATGAGAGACCCTTTCAAGGACCTGAAGAATGCAGGCCCGAGGGATATACCAATGAGAGCATTTGCTCCGTCAGAGATGCGGGATCCATTAAAGGATCTCAAACCTCGAGACGGAGAGATACAGGCACCACAACCAATCTTCACATCGGATCCTGGGCGGTCTCCAGTCAGCCTGGGATCTGATAGCCCATACTTATATAGTAGTAGTGACGATATAATTAATAGTTATGGTTTTAGTAATAGTCCCAATCCATCCCTCGATTACTCGGTGACATCATCATCATCTGCGGCATCATCAGCATCACCACCACAATCTCCCCAATTATCAACTGCAGTTTCGCCGTTACCTAGACCTTCGCGAGTGGCTGGCCCACGAGCGTTGGGTGAAACAAGACCTACATCCCCTACATCAACAACTTCTTCACCAATGATAATCACGCCACCTAATAGTCCTCCGTCTCCTACTAGAAGACACGCGCCAACACCACGATTGTTACCCGTAACTCAAGCTTCGTCTAGATCCGCTGGTATGGCACCATCGACATCGTCGCCAATGTCTAGTAGATCTGGAATGGTTATGAGCAACACCGTGGTCAGCCCCGTGCAAACGTCGTATCCTAGCATGACACAGTATCCAACATCGGCTTCGAGCTCGTCGCACGCCTCTAGTAGTTTGAATTACTCTAGCTCGAATTCATCGTATGCTGGAACTAGTGGACATGGAGCACCAGCTGTAAATGCACACAAGGTCACTTCATTGTCAGGTAAATTTGAGTTTGAATGAACGTCTCTAAATGTACTCTTGTATCCTAACGTTCATGCTTTCTTGCAAACAGGTAATTTGACATCGCCACCACCAATAACAGGCCGAAACAACATTCCACTACCACCACAATTCGCAGAACCACCGCCAATGCCATCATTCTCAGGAAGCACAAGCACTGAACCAGCTATAGTAGCACCGAAACGAGGCGCGTCTGTAACTCCCGTTACCAGGAATCTAAGCAATGCCAGTAACGCAAGTAGTATCAACAGCAGTGACTTTGGTTTCGGCTCATCGAGACCCATATCGCTAATGAGTGACGATGCCTTCTCATCATCTGGAATGATGGACGAATTAGATCAGTATTTGAGTCGAGATGCGAGATAGTGTGGGAGGGGGACGAATCCAATCTTGTATTATAATCGTTTTTGGCTCTCAATCTTTAAAATATATAGCTATGATCTCATTGGTGGGCCTTTTATCACGTGCTTTGTTGTTAATACTGTGTGGAGGGCTGCAGCATGTTGGTCAGGAGGCACGTCAATCCGCTGAAAAACAAATCCAGATGAGACATTATCGCGAACCACCTGAGACTTGACCCATGCAGCAGCAATATAGTGACAGCTTCGGGTGAACTTTGGCTGCGAGGCAATCAATGCGTGTGGCTTGTGGAGGGCTTACATTCATTGGATAAAAGGTTGTTTGAATGAATTGCGACGAGCAGAAGGCCTTTGAGATCCGCGCCTTATCAAAATAGAGTGTCTTAATTAGTTTTTGAATTTTCAATTCTGATCATATTTGTTCCAGCGACAAGAACTTTTCGTCAAGATATCTTGTATGGAGCCTTTTGATGAAGACAAGGACGTCAGATTCGCATATGTGGAATCTACCCTATCCTAGATCCTAGCAATTGGTTCTGTCACATTGCCTGGAAAAATGCTTCAATGTTTGCGACCGGACACTCTCAGCATCGGTTTACATTCTGAACACCCATTTGTACTACTTTGCAACAATTTTCGTCGATAGTCACTCTTCATGATGGTCACAGTTCCATTTTGTAGACAAACTTTAGTTACATTTTTAGACAGACTCTTATGTAAGATGTACAAGTGTTCAGTTTTCCATTTTACGGTGCAGGTCTAGGGGGCAATGGAGGCTGTTTTTGTTGCTCTCCACTGACTCCATTCCATAACATACTGACTCCATTTGCAATTGGTGATATTGGCGAAGAGGGAGTTAAATTCAAGTTCCTTCCGGATCTAGCGGGTTTCGGCGGAGGACTCTTTAATGCGGGTTTTGGTGGTATTGTTACACTGGGACGAGGTCTAGCTGGTAGTGGGATTGTTGCGGGTTTGGTATTTACACTATCCGCACTACAAAAGCAAAATGGTGGTCAGAGTTCATTTCATAGCATCATTTACTGAAACAGATTGGTTGCTTACCCAAAGCTTGTGGATATGGGAGATCCTTTGGGAGATGGACCCAAATATGGAGCTATCGGTGTCATTCTAGGAGGTGACGAGCCTCTACGTGTTCGATCCAATCGTACAGGACGTAATTCATTAGGTGAATTCGTCAAATTGTCTCCGTGTTCTATAATATCAGGAGCTGACCCTATAGACCAATCATCACTTCCTTCCATCGATGAGGCAAGAGAGCTGGCTACAGAAGATCGATTATACGGGTCATTGTTTGATGGGTAACTGCGAGATACACCTTCTGGATGTATAGGCCTTTGCAATACTCCGTCTGGATTTACGGGGCCAGATCGAGACCTTGGTCTACTTAATGTACCCGACGCTGCTCGAATAGATTCTAGTTTAGGTGATTCTGCTGATGTTGCTACAGAAGCAGGCCTACTGGGTGTTCTCGACAGTCCCGTAGCACTTCTAAAGGCGTCAAACAATGAGGTATTGGACCCTCGCTTTCGAGTATCAGAGAATGCCATGACTTGCTCTAATTCAGCTGGAGAGAAGTCTAGACCCACGCCTACAAGATAATCAGCAAAGTCCTGACTAGCCCGCCAATGAGGATCTGATGGTGACATTGGATTGATTGGGGCGAAATCATCTATAGAGGCCGTGGCTGCTGATGGAGTCACGCCTGCCAATATACCAGTTAGATCACGACTTGTAGCTAGATTATCGGTCTTGGGCTCTCGCGCTAGGGACAATTCGTCTACGTCTCGTTCTGATTGCCATTTTCGAGACAGAATCCAATGCGAGACAAACAGGCCCATGGAATCCTAACGACGAGCGAAATCAATCAGCATTGCAACCTGAATGATCATAAAACTTACGACGCCATTCGTGGCGACAGGAAGACGAGACAGTTTCAATGCTATACCTCATCAAGATCCTTCAGGACTGCAATAACTTCTTCAGGTGCATTAGGATTCAATGCTCCACCTCGACGTCCAATCCAGCCAAATGATGAGCTACTGGCCAATTCTCGCAAATCATCCTTTGAATAACGACCACCACCAGCACAAAAGCCAATCTGATCAAGTACTTCTTTGACTCGTCTATCATTAGATATACCAGTGCTGCCCTCCTTAGACAGAGCAGCAGTCAAATATGTCAAATCATGCAACCAGACACCTAAATAAGGCACTGTTGGTCGTCTAGTATTGGTTTTGAGCCATTCTCGATACTGCGCGTAATTATCATCTTCAGATACGAGTTCTTTCAAGCCTTTCAGTGTGGCTAGATCTTTACGTGGTACTAGAGCCCATGTCTTTCTTAGTCGGACCATGGGTGGAGTTCCTAGAGCTGCGATGACTGCCTTAAGTGATTGCATATTTCGTAATCCATAGAAGCAAGCAGCGACTTTTATCCAGGAATGAATACAGCTGGCTCTATCTATCGGTAATAAAGGTTCTAGTACAGAGCTCTCGATTATTCGAGTGGTATAGTTGAAGAATTCCGTAGAGGCGTGTATCGATGATGAGGGTTGATGAGGTGGTTTATGCTTTAAAAAGTCGTTTGGTGCGATTTTTAGAAAGAGGGAATGTACAATGAGGGTCATTTGGTATGCCACGAGACTCGTTCTAAAAGCTAGGATGGACGTTGACGTGACAGATAATTGCAATTGAGCAAGGATTTTGGCCATTTGCATTCGTATGGTATCGGAATCAGCTCTTGCAGGTTGTTGCAGATTCAATGATGGCAAATCCGTCGTAGAGACTGAAGCCTTCGACATTCTACGAAGTTGAGATACTGGTGATGGTAGCTCCTCAGCTTCAGATATACTCTTTGCTCTACTCCTCCCGACTACGTTGAAACCAGCCATTGGTCTCGTAGGTATCTGCGGGTGCTGCTGTTGCTGATCGTCGATAGGTTTCGTTGATTGGGATAACTGTGAGGAGAGCTCTCGATATTTTACAATCAAGGGGGACATAGGTATATCAGGGGTCATGGACATATTTACAGGAAGAGATTTCGGACGAGGCTGTATGCCATCAGGTTGAGGCCTGGGTCTCAACACGGGCATTGGCATTGCGATATCTGCTGATAGAGTTGGTGACGATGTCTGTATTTCGGATTGTGGCCTACGTAACGCCACTGATGAAGCTCTCGGTATAACTGGAGGAAGTTCTGGTATAGTATGAAGAGAGCTTTTGGGAGAACTACTGACGCTCGTACTTCCGGGCGTAATTGGTGGACCTAAATGTGCGTAGTACTGTTATACAAACATAACATTTCAGTAGTGTTGCCCGTTTCGAGATCCAAGTGATCGAATCTCAACAAGCGTGTGTCTGATCGAATAGTAGTCTCCAATCTGAATGCAATTCGTGTAGCAAGCCCACTCGCAACTTACTGACTTCCTGAGTTGTTGTTGTTGCCGGTGGGATTGTGAGAGAAGTTGTTGACGATGCAGGTCCCTTCCTGTTCTCCATGGAGGCTTCGACCTCAACCTTAAGCATCTGGCACCGAGTCAACAAACCAGTTAAAGTTTGATCATCTGCTGGCAGAATGAAAGGTTAGATCCTAGCCGTTGATGTCAAACCCATAGCGAGCCGCTTTGTCAGTAACGATATCTGACGTAGCTTACTCTTGTTCGAGGAGAGACCGTCTTCAATGAGCGACAGACATCGTTTGAGATTGAAAAGGGCAAGCTTGGAAAACCAAAATGCTTATCAGAGGACTACATTCGAGTTCGAGACAAATAGAAGCACCAGTTCCGAATCATTCATACCTGATATCTTGAAGCTTCCTTATATGTCTCAGCTTCCTGAAACAAGTGTGAAACTTGAAGAAACAAGCTTGTCCCCATCTCGAGACCAGTTGAAACCTCCGAATTGGGTGGCTACTGCCAGCGTGCGCTTCCTAACGATACCAGCTTGATAAGAGCTACTTGCAAGCTTCAATCAACTCGTTCTTCTCAGGCGGAGGATGAAAGCAAGTTTAGTAAGTCGAGAAAAACGAAAAGTCCCAAATCGAGAATGAAGACACTTTCCAACGAAATGGACGTGTTTCGTGACTTGAATTAGCCCAATGAAATCACTGCGGATGGAGCCGGTGTAGCTAGTACCTCTCCGTCTGACGGTGGACAATTGCCAATTGTGTCTGCCTCTACGCTGACGTCGATAACCTAATGGCTTTCTATTCTTTCGGCTTCCTATCCTCGCAATTGAGTTTACCTATACCTACTTTGATCTCTCCGTGTCTGCACGGAGACCTCCTGGCAATTCAGTTCCGACACATCTTCAAATAGCAAAACCATATCCCGCAAGCTGAAGATGCAGCTGATTCTATTATTTTGTTGTCGAATATCTCCAATAGATCTTCAGTCTGTGGTAAATGGGCTACTCTGTGTCATAACTTTGAGTAGCATCGAAAAATGGGGTGGAAGCATAACGTCGGAAACACCTCCTCCTGACACCATGGATCATTGCCCTCTGTGTCATCAAACAACGTCGTAGCATACAGTTACGAAATATGCCACGAAGCAAATTCTTGTTCTTTGTGGGATTTACTTATTCACAGGATTATCTTTCCATATTGGACGTTATAGCAACTGGTCAAGCATCAACAACGGACAAAATTATAAGGAGCAGCAGTATAAGATGGCAACGATAAATTGAAGCTTATGAAATGGTTTACTTCTTGGACTTTTGGACTTGGTAGCTTCCTTGTTTTCGGTTTCGGGAGCATCAGCCCCCTAAGGTACAAACAGTCAATATGTCTGTAAGGATGAGACTTGAAGAAGAAATGCATATTGGAGCGTACTGCAACAGTTGACCTACCATGTTGGCAACAGCTGAGAAGGCATCACGATGAGACCCTGCTGGTCTTCCTTGTAGCCAGGCCTATTATGTAAGCATAAAGGTCAGTATGTCAGTCATTCAACAGTCAGGAAGGAATGCAGCTTCTACGATAGCTGCTTGAGATCATGTACGTATATTAGCGGAGAGGATGATCTTTCCCACTTTGCTGCGATCAAAGATACAGCTTCTACAGATGACTTGACTAAGTAAAATCATAGCTTGAAGACTTACAAATTATCTTTTTTATTGAGTTTATTAAGTGTGAGCCAAAGTTCGAGACTTTGAGATGCTTGCGTCATGAAGTTTGAGGTTCAGCAACATAATTTATTTGTGGAGAAGAGCGATCTAGGAGACAGCATGCTTACATGAAACGGGCGTAGGGTGACTTCTGTCTTGAAACTTTTGCTAAAATTAGCATAAAATTAGCTGGTAATAACTCTCTGTGTGCTGAAATTGGATTTTGCGATTTTGCCGCACTCCAACACTTGCTTCCAATACAGCATCTCAAACGACCTACTGGAAGATGACTATCATATAGCAGTACAGCTAATTGAATACACCAGTATTACTACATAAATCAAATCACTTTAGGAAGCTAGAAAAAAATTGAAGTCGATACGCAAAAAGTAGAGTACGCGGAATTCCTGGGTGATCTCTCACCCCAGTACTGCCCGCGCCGGTCGCAGCTTGACTTCACAGAGCTGACGGGATATGGTATTTTCTGCGACGTATGACCCTACCTGAGAAAGTAGAGCGTTTTTAGGCTCTACATAGCTGGTGTCACGATGTGGATGGCAGAACCGCATTTCAGGAGACCGTGGCAATCCCCCACATGGATAGGACGACAATTAAGATGCTTGATCAATGTAGCTCATATTGCTCCTCGCGTCGGCTGCTGTCAAGCAACCAGTGTTTTCTTGTAACCCTTCAACTTCATCTACACTTCAATTGAGGACACGCGAACAAAGCTTACAGCTTCAAATGTCATTTTCATTGGTTGGATATCATTTTTGGCGGATGAATTAATCTGATAAGTTGATAGACACGGTTCTTGCTGAAAATATTCACCATCTATTGAACCGACGCAAACCACGATCACCCCACCAATTTCATTCTCTTCACGGAAATGCATTACCGCAATGTGGTATTGTTTGCAAGCATTATACGGTTGCTATGACAAAACGTGATTGTCACTACTAGATTAGGTTTTGATTCTATTTTGGGATCAAAACCGTATATTGTTGCCAAACATCAGGATATTTTGGGTGGGGGTGCCTTAACTTCACCACTCGTCTAACTTCTGACATTCCACAAACTCAGCACCACAGAGAGAACCAAGCCATGAGGTTGACTACCACCACATTTTGTGCTTTAGCACTTGCAACATTCGCTTCTGTAAACGCAGGAGGCTGGCACAAAGATGATCAAAAAGAATCAAGTTACAATAACAATGATCACGGTGGTAGTAATCACAATTCTCATGGTGATGACGATGGTTCCTCTGATTATGATCACAATGGTGGTGGTGAACTTAGTGGTGGAGGAGTTGTGTATAACTTGGGTGGTGAGTTTTGTGTGAACACGAATTGCATTCTAGTCCCGTCCGAAATTTTATCTAAGGCTGACAATGTCTATAACCGGAATTAGGTACTGCTTCACTCCCATTTACCCAAGTCAATGGTGTCAAGTACTACACTATGGTTCTCACACTTGGAAACGTTTCCGCGGATGGATTCGTCTTTAATCAAGGCATATTAATCAATGGTGTCTTTCCTGGTCCAGCCTTGGTTGCCACTGAAGTATGAAAGTTTTGCACTCTCACTTTCCAATTCAGCTTTTAAGTTATTGACACTTCTCTCTCATTTTTCGTAGGGCGATACTGTCTCTATCAATGTCGTGAATCAACTGAGTGAACCAACATCTATGCACTGGCACGGTCTCTTCCAATCTGTTACACCCTATGCTGATGGAGGTAACTATTGACAAATCCATTGTCAACACATTTGAATGTGATTGCTCACTTTGAGCTACAACTCTTAGCTACATACGTTACGCAATGTCCCATTCCTGTTGGCGATTCGTTCACGTACACCTTCCAAATCAAGCAACACGGAACGTACTGGTATCACTCTCACTACGATGCACAGTACGAGCATGGAAGGTAAATGCACATCCAACGCGAACTCAAAACATGGTTCCCTTGACTCACACCACAAATATTTACCCAGTCGTGGTCCCATCATCTTGATGTCTGCTCATGACAAGACCATTGCTGCTGGTGCTTCAGACCGAGTTATAACGCTTGGTGATTGGTACCACTTAAACGGCTCAACTCTGTTGCAACAATTCTTTGTAAGCACCCTCCTCGCTTCCTTGCTAAACCATCAGCTAAACCATCACACATACAATTAGGACCCAATCAACAATCCAACAGGTGCCGAACCAGTGCCAGAATCTGGCCTCATTAACGGTAAAGGACAATACAACTGCTCTGGACTCCTCGCTGCCGGCTTGATTCCAAACACATCAGTCTGTACCCACGACCAATACGCTGAGGTCAAGGTTGCTGCTGATGGTCGATACCGTGTTCGTGTCATCAACCATTCCGCTTTCACTTCATGGATTTTGAAAATCGATGGAATCAAGTTTGTTATTGTTGAATTGGATGGTACTGATGTTCATCCTACTCCTGTTGATACTCTTCTCGTTGGTGAGTTCCCAGTGATATTTGAAGGTGTGTTGAAATTATACGCTGACTTGTAACGATGTTTTAGATATTGCTCAACGTGTGACCTTCTACTTGGCCCCATCTGATCAAGGAGTCGAAGAGGGAAGATACGTTATCAATGCTACCATGCAATCTCAGTTCTATCCAGTAAGTACTCGTTTCAGTAGCACTATCTGCTACGAGAAAACTAACATAACATCGCTCTCGTGTTCAGTACGTCAACCCAAATCTCAACCCCACCGTCATCGGATACTTGATTGTTGGAGAAGATGTCCCAGTGACTCAAATTGCTGCACAAAATGCTACTATTTTGGACTCGCAGGGCTTTGTCTCGCTAGCTGATGCAACAAACGTTACTACCTTTACATGGCCCAAACCTCTTGGTCACATCCCTGCTTTACAAATCACACCTACTACACCAGCCCAACGATATATGTTTGAATTCCGAGTAAGTCAAATTTCACATTAAAAAAAAAGATCTGAAATGCCCGAAGTCAAATTTCAGATGAAAAAACGATCTGAATATGTCCTAACAGAAGGGCCCGAAGATTTAAGTTTCTAACATCCTACCAAATTAATATTTAATAGTTTGACAATGACGTTGCAACTGGCAGCAACTATGCGTTCGTATGGCTCTACCATTACGTCAACGGTCAATGGGTCAAGAGATTTGGAGCTTCATCATGGCACCCAGACAACAACACCGCACTTCAACTCAGTATTGATGGTGCCAAATCTGGCAATTTGGTAACCGACACCAGTTCCGGCAATTTTGCCCGTCAATGGAATGCTGTACCTCTCACACTTGGTGATGTTGTTGAAATAACATTTGTCAACCATGAAACAGTTCCTCATCCATTGTAAGTTGGTGTTTCCAATTAGTTTCAAGCAAGTATGCAAACCGGCTCTAAAATTTTCATCTTAATAGCCATTTCCACGGCCACAACGCACAAATACTGGGTCGTGGAGCCATGCAGCAAGTCAACGGCACAGACATCCTCCCCATCATATCCGACATTGACGCGGCAATCCAAGCCACAACTGGCCTCAACTACCCACCAATTCGTGACGTTGCAGCTGCACCACCAGTGGGTTGGATGACGATGCGATTTGAGGCCAACAATCCAGGAACATGGACCTTCCATTGTCACGTTGACTGGCACTTAGCGGCTGGTTTATTAATGACGATGGTTGAAGGACAAGAAGCATTAGCCAAAACACAGTTGCCAAGTGACTGGAACCGATTGTGTGCTGATTCTAAAGCTAAGGGGTTGTTGCCACCACCTGCTGGTAGCAATAACAGGGTATCTCTTAACTTCCCAGTATAAGAGAAGTTGTAAAAGTTTAGTGGTAGTGGTAATTGCTATCGACGGCACTTATAGCTGTCTGAAAACCCTAATGTTTTTATATAATGTGTGATAAAACAATGAGTGCTTGAATAAAACATATAACCAAAACAACTAGCTCTGATTTGTGTTTTGCAAACAGTTTCTCTTTACATCGTTAAAGGACGTAAACATTACATTATTACATGAGTAGTGCAGTCGTCGTCGTCTCGTTTTACAAGTTCGGACATCTCGACCTTCATTGGACGCCAACTAGCCTCGCTCACGACGTCCGTGAACCTCATAGAACTGAGAAATGAGGTCTTCGAGATTTGAACTTGGAATTTCAATGTCCATCAAACCTATATCGAGTCGGTGTCAGAGACTTTTGTTTCGAACCATGTACGTTTCAGATATTTCGATGAATGTTGACTTACTATCAATTTCGAGTTTCCGTTGATTTGCAGCTTTAGTGTCCTTGATCAGACGATCCTTCATTCTTGCATGACGTCCTTGAGCTTCAATGTAGTCCAAAAGTATCGTCACGTTGCGATAAATTACGTTACAGGCGGCGAAGTCTCGTTTGATCATGGAGTTGAGATAAGAGGTCAAACTTAGGTGCATGTAGGTATCAAATTTACGTGATCCTGCGTTCTCAAGCTTGTTTCGACGTTTCAAGAGTGAAAACTTGATCATTATTGCTTGTTTGCGTCAACGGAAACATTTTGAAACAAAGTTTCGATTTCTCAAAACTGCACCACACAAACACGACTGCCCAAACCATTGGTTGCACAAAATATTTGTATTCGAAATAATGTAGTAGAGACGTAAATATGAGATCCTTCATACAATGCTAATTTTTCATTTTTTTCCACCGTTTAAAAAAATCCAAAACTGTGCCAACGAAAGCTGTCATTCTAATTATGCAAGGAGCATTACTGCACCGACAGATGCGACAACTACAGCCATTATTCCTCCGCCGAATTTTACGGCGTGGTTGCTTGCTGGAGGTACAGGTGTTGGGATTGCATTCCAGTTTGGCCATAGGACGGTATCTACGATGTGCATTACACCATTGGCGGTTTGTACGTTGGCCAATAAGACAGTTGCATTTCTAAAAGAATTGCGTTTAGTAAGGTTGCATCCAATAGAACGAGAGAGTGGACTCACGAAGCGTATCCCAAGATTCGAGTTTTGCCTCCAGCCAATGATACAGTTAAAGTATTACCCAACAAAGTAGTCAAGGATAACCCATCCGTCAAGCTTGGAGAGTATTTGATTGCTGGAATTACGTGGTAGGCCATCAGATTCGACAATTGGTTTGATGTGAGAGCAGACACCGACGAGTTGATTGCTGCGAATGCTACATTTGTTGGAGCAAACTAGAGAAAATGCTTTTAAATGAGTGTCTGTCCTCCCATTATAACATATGAAGCACGAGCTTACGATAGTTGCAGCGGCAGCGTTATCAACAGTAGAGACCAAGTTAGAGCTAACAATGTCGCCCGACAATGTAGATAGTTGAGCTGGAGCTGCCAATGCGGCCGATGGAGCAGCTGGGATGTTGAGTACACTGCTAACTACGTGGATGACACCATTCGTGCAATGAATTGTTTCAAGGACGTTTGCCTGATACCAACTAGCATATGCTATTGATATAGTTCCCTTGTTGTATGTGATGACAGATTGTAAAGGAGTGGCAGCGGTTGGGACAATGGTTAGAGGGGCAGTTGTGGTTTCTGAGAACACGTAGTTCGGTAGTACGTGGAATGCCAAAACCTTGAGGAAACAAAAAGGGGTTTATAAGAGAGTGGTTTACGTGCGTATCAAGTTATGATCAAAAGCATACCTGAGAGACTTGGTCATAAGTCAAGCTAGGATTGGTAGCTTCGTATAATTGAAAGGCAGCGTCGTATGGAGCTAGAAAGGATCAAAAACATGTTTAGCAGAAAACTTTCGTGGTATCCCTTAGCAACACCAGTCAGCGAAAGTAATGCATGAAAAGCCAACGGATTGATGCATCAGGTTCATAATAGCCCAATAATGGCCGAACTTTCAACTTGCAACGGGTTGATTCGTTGAAACATACCAAACAATGTTAACGGTGTGGTGCTGTTAATCAATGCCATGACTTGAGGCCTTGATACAGCCTGACTCAGTAAAGTGCTGAAGGTATATCCTCCAGGAGACTTTGTACTATTGTATCTAATCAGCTAAATTGACGATTGGGTGTTAGAAAATGTCGTTGTCTCCCGTCCACCCAAAACTTAAAAATATGTACCGCTTGAGGAATTGTCACTCCAGAAGCTGAAGTGACCTTCGATGCTGGTGCTAGATCTATGACAGCATGGGCGATGCCCAATAGCTGCAATGCAATGACGGCAGAGCTTATAAGCTTCATTTTTGTGTTTGTTTTGGTGAGGGACACTGATCTTCGCCACCGAATCGGACATGGGAAAATCCAGGACTTGATGCGAGGGATCTGGCGTGATACCTCTTCGAATGTGGAACTAAACCAAGATCTACGTGTTCCGGTATTATGCTCTACCATTGGATCCAGGGACAGTCATTGTTTAGCTTTTGTTTCAACACATAAAACATAGCAGATGAATACTGGCGATCGCTTCTATATAGCTCATTCAATATAGATCTTAAATACATTTTAACAGACTTTACACTATACCTTCTCTACAGGATCTATGTGCTTTTCGAGTATTTTTGACAAGTTCGTTGCATCAGGGTAACGAATGTTCAGGTTTCGCGTTCAATGTTCAAGCAGTTGGAACCGCGGTTGCAGTAGGAGATGGCCACCAGTCTAATGGCGTCACTGTAATATACTCAGTTACAGTGCTCACGACAGGTTGACAAGCGACTAGATTCAAGAGTTAGTAAAAATACGAGTTGGTATTTTAATACACTAGATATTACTAGCGTGAACTTACCAACTGGAGTAAATGCTGGATCGTATACAGGCGTGGCGGCTAGAGAAGCGAACCAAGGTCAGAAAACGTCTGCATCATCACTTTTGTCTCTTCACTCATAACAATTGGATACTGCGTTTATCACACATACTGGGTTGATATACAGGTGTGGCTTCGGGATATGTGTTGTATGGATCTGCAGAAGAAAAGACCTTAAGCATCCGAAAAAAACAAAACCGCTCCGTAAATAACAGTCACGTACCGACTGACGTTGGTGCTGGATCAGCGGAAGGGATTGGAGTGCCAAGATAGTCAGTCGGCAAAGGAGTGCCGGTAGGATCGTTTGTTCCAGACGTGGGAGTTGGCTCAGTACAATCAGTCCCTGAAATGGAAGGAACATGTCAGAATCCGTTGCCCGCAATTCACTGATACATGTCAAACAAGCGAGAAAACGTTACCAGTTGGTGTGGCGCCAGTGGGAGTAGGATCAATCGTTGGCTCGCCAGCAGGTGATATTGGAGTTATGGTGGGAGAAGCTGCGCCAGCAGGTGCTGTTGGAGTTATGGTGGGAGAAGCTGCACCAGCAGTGGGCGTGTTTGTCGGTGCTCCTGCAGTTGGAGCTACGGTAGGAGAAACTCCAGGTGATTCAGTTTGTCCAGTGGCACAATCGACAAAGTCCCAAACAATTGGCAGGACCCCGATATTCATATCTGATTCCAAGGTAGTCCATGCGGCGGGAGTCAAGTCTAAATGAAGACAAGGAAAGGTGAGATCCATTGGATTGTGATGTTTGGCCAGACAGAGGTTTCGAGAGTATACCTAGAGAGCCATAGGTACAGGATGGACAAAGATCCTGAATGGTAACGGTAACTTGATTTCCATTGTTGGTATTGGTTATCAAAGCACATCGACCACAATCGGTATAGTCTGGATTTCCATTGACACCCAACCACTGTTCTACGTTCAGCGCAGCGACAAGGTCAGAGTCCGAGAAAGGTACACCGCAAGCGCCTTTGCAACAGAAACCGGTAAGTTTTTCAATGAAAAGTAAGATCTTGGCACAAGATGAAGAGCAATGCATCACCTGCGACAGATCCAGGGTTGTAGTAGAACGTCGCAATTCCACCAGAGAACGTTCGTTTTGTAAACGGAACTGCAGTGGCAGTTCCAGCCAAGAGTAAAGCCAAGGCAATAGCAGATTTCATAGTTTCAACGAATTGGTAGATCGGGATTGGATGTTATGAATGAAGATAGGTGAAACGGCGGTTGATTATCAACTGGCGCAAGTTGGAATTTCTCGGATGTCCGGCAAGTACAGCTCCCAATACAAACTTGTAACCCAGTTTGAGGTAGCTAGAAGGATTCTTCTCCGTGATAAGAAAGATGACGGTTCTTGGCTCGGAGCATTTGAAACTTGCGGTTTGCCAGTTTGTCTTTCGTTTTCTTCATGAATGAAGATATTTGATGAAAATAACGCCAAGAGCGTACGGAGGGGACGAGATCCATTGCCTTTGAGAATGTATACATGTAAATATAGTGCTCTCTTTAGCTCATACGTCCAATTCTTGTTTTAAGCGACCTCCAAAGCTCGTAACACTTGACTTGCACTTTGTGAACATCGCTCAGTCCCCACCATGCAAGCACTACGAAACAGAGCCGCCTTTGCTTTACTGCATCGTCAGCCATCTATACCCATAATATCACGTCACCTCGCATCGCATTCAACCCCACAGAGCATCAGTGAAGCCGAATTCGACCAAAAATACACGACATGGCTACCAACCATAACATCCAAAAAAATGCACGAATCCGATATAATCGATGCTGGCCGAATGCACCTGCTCGCCCTAACGCTAAACCCAAAAAACCACGATGGACTAGAGACATTCATCCCGGGCAGACCCGTCCAAGAGGCTTACCACTTGACGCTATTCCCACCACGTATACCAGAACAGGATCTAGCGCTTGATGGATATGATGTGATTTGGTCGCCTCCTCATCCGTTTACACAGCGCATGTGGGCTGGTGGGAGCTTCGAGTTTAATGTTGACAATCCATTACGTATTGGGCAGCGTGTGTATCAGAGTACCAGTGTGGATAGAGTCGAACGAAAGATGAGTAAGAAGGGCGCTGGAGCGTCGATCTTTGTATGGTTGAAGAAGCAGGTGTACAATGAGGCTGGACTTGCAATGACAGAGTTGAGGACGCTGGCTTATATGAAGGCTGATCGGAATCCTTCTGCTGCTAGGACTCTTCCATGTACGCTGCATTAGTTGTTGTAATTGATCTACAAAGCGCATCAGTTGACCATGCCAACCTCCTTCTATAGATGATGCACCATCAGACTTTTCAGCAACACACACACCATCCCCAATGACACTATTTAGGTACTCGGCTCTAACATTCAACAGTCATTTAATCCACTACGATTACAAATACTGTACAGAAACAGAGGGATACCCAGACTTGATTGTACATGGACCATTGACGTGCACCTATCTACTGGATTTACTGGTAAAGAACAAACCAGCGGAAGCTAGAATCAAGTCATTCTCGTATAGAGCTGTATCGCCACTGGTAGTTAAACGTCCGCTATCGGTGCATGGTAAATTCGGATCGGGTGGGAAGGATAACTTGATTGAGTTGTGGGCGAGGAGTGATCAGGGGTCTTTGGCAATGAAGGGAACTGCTGAGTTGGCATAGTTGGAAGCACAACTAAGTAAAATAAATAAGAATGCTGCCAATAATGGCTTGCCTCAGATGCACTTGTTTCGCAAACCAGCCTGTTATGCCACACACGCTCCTTCATCGATGTGTTTTTTCTTCATTAGCCGGTTTTTTATATATAAAGCAATAAGCACAACAATCTCTCAGATATCTTCATATTTCATGTTCTGGCCATCTCCCCCAAACTTTCATCAGTTTATATAAAATGTTGTGGGAAGACAAGTTTAGCAGTTTACTCGTCGTCTTCAGGCTCTTCGTCTTCTTCTTCACTCTCGTCCTTTTTAGCCTTCTTCTTGGGTGCCTTCTTTTTGGGAGCAGCTTTGGCCTTAGCCTTCTTCTTAGGCTTTTCTTCTTCATCATCGTCATCGACTTCATCGTCATCGTCTAGTGCAAGAAAAGTGGACTTGCGTTGTGGGTATTATACTGAAGTTTGCTTTTTGTGTAGAAAAGACGGAGAATGATAACGAAAATGGGTACTTTCACACCAATACGTACCATCATCGGGTTTGCGCTTCTTTGAACTGGAGGCTTTCTTTGCTTTGGGCTTGGGTGGGTTTTCTTCGAGTGATACAGCGTCGAGTTTGCCTTCTGCGACAGCACCTTCAACACGTGCTTTGTCTTCCTCCTTGATTTCATCGATTCCTTCAATCTAAGAAAAACAAGCAGCTTGTTGTGAATACATGTAATACATCTGTTCAAATGAGCAGCTTATACCTCTGCGCCCTTCATCGAGTTCAAAAACTTGGTAGTCACACAACACCAGTGACGCCCTTTGGCCATAGGTTTTCCTTGCTTGTTCTCGAACGTCTGAATGACTTTCAACTGTCCTTTCTGTATAAAGAGAGAAATGGAAAGCTATTGTAAGTATATTTTTTCACGTAAAGGTTCCTATTCTGGAGCATCCATTTGCATTTCTTGTAATACGGTTGCAGATTTTTGGGGATGGTGAGATGATATGGGAAGTTTTACCTCGATTTTGTTTTCAAATGGACAAGACTTTGGACCAGCACATTTTCCACGGTCGCTCTTTGCATACTAGAAATAATTGGGGGGTGTTGGATGTCAGTGTTTGGATCAAGTGCAGGATTTAATGCAACCGATCACAGATGTTGGCCTCAGAGATGCATCATTCCATCATTCAAATATACGTAAATATGCATATGACACGTATATCCTTCCTTGTATTCAGGAAATGATATCTTTTTGTGTCATCCACTCTTCCTCGCTTCGTTCCTCCACACGATGAAAATTTCGAAATCGCTTTTTGCTTCCATATTTGACGACGGCATGATTTTGGACGATAGTGCCTCAAACTTTCACATAAAAAGAGAACAGATGACATACCTCAACTTTGTACGTTGTAGTCTTGCCCTCAGACATCGTGCTTTTGTTGGATTCCTATTGCTCGATCAGTGTAGGGAAATTGGTCGACCGTTACATCGATGAGAACATCTGCACGAAACGACGACAGGTAGAGGGGAATGAAGCGTCATGATATATTCTATACGCGTTTTCTAGATGTATTGCCCCTACAAATTCAATCCAATCTTTATCTACAGTCGAGCAAAACACGTAAAGAAAAGTTGATTGTGCGAACTAAGCGTGTTTGTTTATGTCAGTCACTTGATGAGCAAAGACGAGATATATTTGCCTTTAAAAGCACTAGATGACTCCATCTTTTACAACGTAACTGTTGCTAACAGTTTGTTCCTTCCCATATGATGTCACAAATGTTGGAAAGTCTTGAAACTCAGCTACAAGACAGAACAAGCACAGGATGGTTGGTTTGACGATCCAGCCCAAGCCTAAAGTGCAGCTAGCGACTGATCTGCCTGTTTCCGATGTGCTCTACGTTTCCAAAGCGTGTTGGGATGGGCTAGTGCTGAAAGGAGCTCAACGTATCCCAGCTAGACGAACAGGCAAGTTTAATGATAGATGATGCACAGTTCCATTACGGTTCTGAAGCCATACGTTGAACTGCCGTTTGCGTCTGCTGCGTCTATTGCATCAATCCAAGGACCTAGCTCATTTCATTTGCAATGACACGACTCATCCCACATCTTTAGGTCCTCCACAACCACAAGTCATCATCTCACTCACATTGGCACGATGGCCATCTGTTATACCATGGAAGGACGACTCTCCACAAGATGACCTACCAAACACAATCACTGCTTATGCTTGCCAACTACCTCCTAAAACTGATCCACGGACACCAACTTGTTTTCTTCCTGTCGAGTTCTTACGCAACCATAGTGTATTTGAACAGGATTTGCAGTTGGACGCCGTCGACATTGAACCGACTGCTTTGCTTGAATTGGAAGAGATAATATTGGGAGCTTTGGATGAGGATTCTTATATTCAAGCTACTGATGGCGAGTGAATGTTGTGTTTTGGCAGCTTCATCAGTTTAATGTGCTTACCCTCTTATATCCGGCCTAGATTCAAAAGTAATTTCTTCATATCTGGCAGCAACACAGATGATTACACGACAGTCAAGTGTATTGAGTATCCCAGCTTCATCTCCCGCTGCACCAGCACTACATCGCTATAGAGTACTGAGCGCATCACCGGTATTGCAAGGCCTCGTAACATTATCCACTCGCATAGTCATTTCCAAAGCACTAGCACTAGAACCGCCTTCGTTACGACATCATATAGACAAGGAAGAATTAGACGTTAAATCATTCTTAAACACCAAAATCATAACGGGAGAAGCTGCTGGCAGTGAAGCCGGATTACGATACCTTCTAGATTCGTCATTACCTGGTAGTAATGGGATTAAACTCGACACTGAAGCGTTGAAACAACCGTTACCTATATCAACTTTACAGCCAACACCGCCAGAAGACGAAGATGAAGAGATTCGAATCATTGTGCCTTTACTAGTGCTGGCTGAACTAGGTGTATTTAGCGGTAGTTGGGTACTAGTGTCCACGTCATCTACAACAGCACCTCGATTATGTCGAATCTATGGAATAGATGACGGCAATTCAAAGAATATTCCACGAAAGGCGTACTTGCCGCCATCATTATATTTTAATTTGGGATCGCCGACACAGATTCTCGTGTCTGCTGCCTTATTACCTCATGATGCCATGCCTGCTCCCATAGCTACTGAAGTGACGTTAGCTAGAGTGGCATCGCCGGTATCTAATGACAAAAAGGGACTTGACGCCGCTCTTGATTCTTTGAAGAGGTGGTTTGAGAGTGCCGTTAGAATATTGTGCGAGGGGGATGTTTTGTCTGTTGTTATTGATGGTGAGTTCTCGTTCCTCACTTTGTTCAATCAAGAATTGATTCCTAATGCGAATCGTGTGTTTAGAGGAAGAGAGACGCCTGAAGGGAATAATAGAGGATGAGCTGGACGATGACGATGCCATGTAAGCCTTGATGCCTAAGTTTTTTTTGGTTCCCTTTGTCTGAGTGGCAATTCGTGTTTCTTCTCAGGATTGATTGTGAGCCAACAGAAGATACAAGACAAGTTGCGTACTTTAAAGTGACCAAGACCTTTGTGGAGAATGGCACTTCACTATTTGCGTCAATTCGGATACATCCGTCAGAAACCAAGTTATTACAACAGGGAGTAGCGAATACCAAAATCCCATCATCCATTCGAAAGTATCTACATGCAGGTGAGATATAAGACTTTTCGCTGTTTGTCCCTTTTTTTGGCCTGCGCACTACTTCTTTATGGCTAATACAAACCCCCTCTAGGTGCAGCGCCAGATCCACCCCCACAACGTACAGATCCAGCCTTCACTACGCTAAGATCCTTAATGGCAGTATCACTACATCCAGCAGCCGCACTGCTAGATTTGGGGTGTTCCATCCTAGTCTATGGGCCTCGTGGAGTTGGTAAACGCGCCTTGGCATCTGCAGCGGCAGATTCATTAGGTATTCATATCATGGAAGTAGCTTGCTTTGATTTGGTTGGTGATTCTGATTCCAAGACCGAAGCATCATTGGAACGAGCTTTTGACCGTGCGGAAGCTGCTGTTCCGTGTGTTTTGGTGTTGCGGAATGCTGAAGCACTTGCAAAGAAGAGTGATGTTGCTGAGACTGGACAAGGTACGTTGATTTTAAAGCAAGTGGGAGAATGGCGTATTATTGTATGAGTAGTCTGGTTTTTTTCAGATAAAACACCAACATTTCTCGCACAATTTTAGAGCCAAAAATAGCATCTGTACTGGCAGCATGCTTACGACGAGCTGGCGATGTTTCACGAGATCAAGGACTACCACTTTTAGTGGTTGGAACCACGTCAGATCCCGATAAACTCCCAACCTCTATAAGAACAGCATTCCGGCACGAAGTCGTTGTAGAATCTCCAGCAGAACCAGCCCGTCTCTTCATTCTCAAAAACCTCCTATCTCAGATTCCATTAGGTCCCGATGCAGACTTGGATGGAATAGCGGCACATACCGCAGCTCTAAATTCACGAGATTTAAAAGATTTGGTATCTCGAGCTGCAGCTGCTAGTATTGTTCGAGTTATTGATAGTCTGGGGAAATCCGTGGGACGAAATGGTGTCGGGATTGTTGCCAATGATGATGATTTAGCCAGAGCTGGTGTTGCCATAGTGGGCAAGGATTTCGATAAAGCTCTGGGTAAAGCTCGGGCTGCTCATTCTGATTCTATTGGTGCACCCAAGGTAAAACCTGGAATCATTCATTGGAGTTTATAAACTTTTTTTTGACCCTATGAAATCCATTTAGATTCCTAATGTTACATGGGATGATGTTGGTGGTCTGGCACATGCTAAACGTGCAGTGTTGGATACTATACAACTTCCTCTTGAGCATCCAGAGCTGTTTGCTGGTGGCGTCAAGAAGCGTTCAGGTATCCAATCTCCTTCCAGCTTTTTTTGCTATGTCTCGTCTTGACAAAAACCTGTTTCGTTCATAGGTATATTACTATATGGACCACCAGGAACAGGCAAAACACTCATGGCCAAAGCGGTAGCAACAACTCTCTCTCTCAACTTTTTATCTGTAAAGGGACCCGAACTCTTAAACATGTACATTGGAGAATCCGAAGCCAATGTCCGTAAAGTCTTTCAACGAGCACGAGATGCACGACCCTGTGTTGTCTTTTTCGATGAACTGGATTCAGTGGCGCCGAAACGTGGTGCTAAAGGAGATTCAGGAGGTGTGATGGATCGAATTGTGAGTCAGTTGTTGGCTGAATTGGATTCCATCGGTGGAGGAGCTGGAGGAGATGTTTTTGTTATTGGAGCTACGAATCGACCTGATTTGTTGGATTCTGCTTTGTTGAGACCTGGAAGGTATGAAGTCCTTCTTTGCTAGTTTTTGTTGCTTTGTACCCACACACACACATTTTTACACAATCTCTAGATTTGATAAACTATTGTATTTGGGAGTAGCATCTGATCGAGACTCTCAAGTCAAGCTGTTACAAGCCTTGACTCGTAAATTCACGCTAGCACCAGGTCTAGATTTGACTCGAGTGGCAGAGAAATGTCCATATAATTATACAGGTGCAGACTTTTATGCTTTGTGCTCTGATTCTATGCTCAAGGCTATGATTAGGAGGATTGATTTAGTTGATGCAAAGATTGGTGAGTTGTGGTTGATTATGCGAATGGTACTTGTGATCACTCGTTTTTTTTCTCAGGCCAGTAACAAATCATTGGTTCTCGTTAGCTGCTATGAACGCCTCACCGCAACGGGAACATCCACATCCTGTAACACCAGCCTATTTCTTTGATCGTATTGCGACACCAGAAGATGTGACTGTGATGGTTGATGAAGAGGACTTTGAAGCTGCACAACGAGAACTGTCACCATCAGTACCCATGGCTGAATTGAAACGATATGAGGAAGTGAGGAAAAAGTTTGAAGATATACCCGCTGATGAAGTGCTACCTGTTAGCAGTAGTAATGGTGGTGCTACTGTTAGTGAGATATCATTCAGTCTTGGAAATGGGGATGATTCGCTCCCTAAGCCTGTGTCTAGTGGTGGTGGTCCTAAAAAGGGGAATCAGGTTGTGAAGAAGAAGAAGAGTGGTGATGCGTTCAAGAAGAATCAGACTACGAGTAGTATTAACAATAGTAGTGGTGCACCAGCACCTCCAGTATCTGCCACATCACCTGGTAACAAGAGTGAAGAGTCGGATGAGGAGTTCTTCCCAGCTCCAAACGCTTCGAATCCGGAGATTGTTGAAGGGAAGGGTAAGGGTAAAGCTACATGATTGTTGCTCGTCATTGCGGATTGTGGTTGAAGAAAACAAGAATTAGTTTGCATTGGCTATGTCTTGAGCTTATGGCTCTTTTTCTGGCGTCCGCGTCTTTTTCCACGCGTTAGACACTGCGAAAGAATGAAATATTTACGCGACCACGCGATGAGGCGCCCTTTCTATGTTCTGTCGTCGAATAATGGTGAGAAATGTCGGACTGTTCGAGTAGAAGTTTACACACAATTAAGTTTTGAGCATACAAGCCAAGAACATTTTGAACGTGAGAAGGTGTTGAAGGAAAGGACGATTCGAATTACATCAAATTGCATTGTATACAGTGACCGGAAACAATTCGACTCATTTGCCTCGAGTGCCCTCGGCTCATAATCAAGAACGACGAAAACGAGAACACACGATTTTGGGACAAGACCACTGATTGAAAGGAAAACGTTGGAGGAAATTTCACGTGTCTTGTAACGTTTATCAAGATACTGTCATAGTACAGGCCTCACGGTAAGCTTGCTTTTGGAGTGTATATACTGCGCTGAATGTTTTGTTTTGACATCAACAATTCTAGTTTTCACGTTCATAGAGATCTAAAAAAAAGGCATATGCAGGTACTCGAACTATACGTATCGCACCATATCGTCAAACTTGACTGACATCTTCAAGATCTAGCGGGTTTTTCACAACAAACCCAATAGCTAAAAAACCAAAAGAATATCATGTTGACAAACGACTCCAACTCGACACTACCAACTGCCAATACCAATGACGAATCAGCACCAGCAGATGAACAACCATCATCATCAACATCAGTCAAATTCCCAATAAATAGACGTCATCATAGCGTTAACATGACCATGGACACTGCCAAAGAACAAGAAGAACAAGCAGCAGCCGCAACCTCAAAATCAGAACCTCAAAGCCCCAAACGAAATACATTGGACACTATACCTCAGCATAACGATGAAGATGATTTGGATACTAGTAGTATTGTCGAGGCAGGTGCAAATCAACAGGGTATACCTCTTCATCAGAGACAAGAGCAGCAAGACATAACGGCAACGACGGGGACGACTACTTCGGCTGTTACTACAAGTACGAGTTGTTTGTCGAGTGTTGAAGCTAGTCCAACTGCTACTGAACCACATCAGTCGTTGGTTGATGTTGGGTCTGCGAGGATTTTGTTTGTGTCTAATTGCCGAGGTACAGTTCGATGTCGTTGTTGTCTCCTTTTTTGTTGGTGCTGAGATTGTTTCTTTGGCCATTTTAATTGTACAGGCAAATGGAGTGAAATTAATCGATTGGTTGATCGAACTGGTGCTTCTATGGTTGTTCATTGTGGGAATTTCGGATTCTTTGGTACGTCTATCATCAGCGTCTTGAATTCTGGTTTTTTTTTTGTTCGCCGCTTTGCAATGTTAAAACTGACTACATCAATCCCACCGTCGTGCCTACTAGACATCACCAGTATCCAACGAATACATGAAAAGCAAGTTACCCTCTTTCCCAAGGCCCAGCTGTGTTGATCATTAATAACCAATACAAATTTCAAAAATAGGAATCTACGGCAGATTGTATGGGGCTCTGCTTGCTTGAGTGATAATGATCGGAATCTTGTGCATACGAACGACACAGCAGCGATACGAGACATGCTCTCAAGTCGACAGTTTCTATCAGAAATGTCGGATTTTGCGTCTGGAAGGTGTCGTTTCAGTGTACCCGTTCATGTCGTCTATGGTTCACATGAAGATGTATGTATGATTGCAAAAAAATGCAACTAGCGCTCTTGCCGAATTTTAAGTTTTGACTCCATACCTTCTTCCACTACATTAGATTACAATCATTGACAAACTAAGCTGTGGCGACTTGTCAATCCCCAATCTTCACTTGTTGCATGAAGGAACTCCAACACGTCTACCAACTCAACCACCAGTCCTCTTGATGGGGTTGGGAGGCTCACTTCTTCCAAGCTCATTGTATGATCATGCTGATGGACAACTGGGTCATGCTGGAGCTGGTGGTTTGATGTGGACTACAGTATTGCAGATTGGACAGTTGGTTAAAGATGCAATGGCTGTTGGTCATGGAGATGAAGTACGGGTTCTTGTGACTAGTGTTGATGCGAATGAGTACTCGTTGTGTTCTCAACTTGCTATGACGCTTGAGGTAATGATTGATTGGTTGAAATCTTCCAATGCCTTTGTCTGTCTCTCTAGTTTTGACATTTTTCTGAATAGGCCGACTATTGTGTATGCCCTTCCATGAACTCGCCTATTCCAACAATCCAAAATGGATTCCAGACTACCATGATGCGACAACTATATGACAAGTGTGTCGAGTTTGATGCTGCATACCAACGTATCTTTTCCAAGTTGTTACGAGAGCAGATTGAAGCTAAAGCAACGTGAGAGAAAGAACATTCGTTGAAATGGTCCTCGTTTTTTGGCTTGCATCTAACGAATTCTTTTGATGTTTTAGTGAGTATCAACGTGTCTTGTTACAAACTGGTGAAAGCGTCATCAAAAAATTGCCTGCTTCTCGAAAAGATTATTCGGGGTGGTGGAATCTTCTAATCTCAGATATTGCTTCTGGTATGGTCATGTTTGATCTACAGAACTATCGGATTTCGATGCAAATGCATTCCGAGGGTAAGTATATAGTAGTAGTTGTGTTGGCCTTTGCGACTGCAAGACGTCATGTGGCGTGGAGCTGAACTTTTTTGCTTTAGGCATTCCATATGGCAACCGTGTCGCCAAATCACCGACAACAGAAACCACCGATGCACCAAGACTTGTGTTGCCACTCTCGCGATCAAGATCCGTATTAGACTCTGCAATACCAGGAGCATCTCCAGTCCCATCTCTACCAAACTCTCTTCGACACGCAGATGCTGAATCCACTGGAAGATCTTCACCTGCTGGATGGCCAGATGCAGAGTCTGTATCTGGGTCTGTGACTGGAACACCACTCACTCTCACACCTACTCCATCCATGTGGCACGAGTCAATGTTGATTGCTGCTGTTAATGATGAGAGGGCTTCACTACGACATGGTCGTGGTAGTGCCTTGCAGATACGACATCCGTCTGGCAGTGTGACTGATGAACGAATTGGATGGGAGACTGACAGTGATGATAGTGAAGGCAGCTGGGATCCACCGGTCAGTGATTTGATAGTTTTACCAAGCTCTTTTGTTATGCTCTATAGATCACAATATTTATCAAACAACACCAATTATAGACGGGCTCAATGACTGTCTGGGTTGGTAATCTTCCCGAAGATGTAACCGATGAGGATGTTGTCACGTTCTTCAAAAATATTCCGGTAAGTCTGTGGCTATCGTGAGCAGCGAACAAAAACACGAAAAATCTAAACACTGGTCTTGTTCGCAGATCATGCGGGTCAAAATCTCTTCTAGAAGACCTGATCGACGACCTACTGCATACGTTGATGTTCCACACGCCGATGCATTGGAACGTGTATTGAGATGTAGTGGGGAACGGATTCGAGGGTCTCGCCTTAAGATTGAGTATGATCCAACTCGGCTAGCCAAGATTCGAGATGCACGAGCTAGTAAAAGAGAATCACGTAGACAGAGTCGAGCTGCCTCTGTGGAATCTACTCCTGTTGTGTCACTGAGTGCGACTGGTGAGCTTGCTGGTATTGCACCGAGACCCGGATCCACTCTTGCTCATAGGAGACCTGCTCAACTTGCAACGTGAGTAATTGTCCAATAGACAGTGAGAGTTTTTCTTGTCATTGGAACGCTAATGACCAAACCATGTTTTTGACGCTCCAGGATACCACCACGACATGAGAATTCACGCAAAGGGTCTATATCCTCTAGTTGGAGACCTGATATATCGGCACCTCCATATGTACCCGAATCAGTAAATATAGATCATGGATCACCACCATTAGCACCTATACCATTGCCTCCATCTTCAGGACATCCAATGAATGCGTACCCACGGTCAAATGCCTACTTGTCAGTCCAACATCCACCGCGATTTGGTGGCGGTCCAACTTCAGCTCCAGCTACAGCAGCACCATGGAGAGAAGGAGGAGGAGGACCACAATCTCGATCAGTGTCATCGTCATCATCTCGATCGGATTATAGACCAGCAGATCCTAGTCCACAGCCACCGAACTCGGTGCTTCAAACAGCAGCACCTGCTGGTTGGAAGAACGGTAGTATTCCTATGGCGACTTGGGATTCACCACCACGTAAAAATAGGACATCTTTCTCTACAGGTGCTCATTGGGATCGACCTCATCATGACCAAGGGCCTGTAGCTGTAGTTGGATGGGAGACGTCTTCAGTAGTTATGCCCGTTGCGACTGCTCAGATGGGAGGAGCAGGATCTGGCTATTCATGGAGTAACAATAGTAATAATAACTGGACTGATGAGTCATGGGCTACTGCCAATACATCATCAGGCAGTTGGGCCGGAGCAAATGATCGCAATGCTTCTTGGAATAGCAACAATAATAGTAATAATATGCCGTTGGCTGGTGGTATGGCTGGTGCTGCATCCGCTACTCTTCCACATCGATCTTGGAATGCCTCACCAGCCGCAAATGTATCGGCATCAGTATGGGTTGATGGATCAGAATCAGATCATGGACAATGGACACCACCGACTCCAGTGTCTGAAGAAGATTTATGGCGGATGGATGCTGCTGAGCACGCCGCCATTTTGGGTAACAGTAATAGTAATTCTAGTAGTAGTATTCATAGTAGTAGCAAACGAGTCAATTCGTTTGGAGGTGAGACTTGGGTTGGAGCAGATACTCGCGGTGGAGGTGGTAATCGTGATATGAGTGGTGGTAGTGGTCAACCATGGGAAAGGTCTCCACACCTTTTATCCAATTCTGCACTACCACCAGCACCATGGTCTGATAAGCCATTCATCAATAATTTACCACGCCCTTCGTCTTCTGCATTTACGGCAGTTCAACCTAATAATAGCAAAATGATGTCTGGTAGTGCACTCCCTGCTGGTGGTGGTAGTGGATGGAGTTCAACTGCTTCGTCCCCACGCCGACATAGTATAGGTGGTGGTGTTTCTACGACATCGTCTCTGCATCATCAGGCTTCATCATCAGGCTTGGGTAATGGATGGGACGCTGCTGGATTTGATAATGTACAGTGGAAGGGTCAGCCATCCATGCAACCTGCTATTGGTGGTTTGGTTAGTGGAGCGTCTTGGACTTGGAAGTGATGTTCTGAATAGTAGCGAGATGGAGGATTATATCCAATGTGTATAGTAATATAGCTAGTGGCTAGCAAGAAAGTGTTATATGCTAGAGAAGGTAAACAAACAAAACAAAATGACAAGAATGGACTGCTAAAAAAGGACTGTATTTGTGTATATCTTTCTTGGAATTGGTCTCAAAAACGAAGCAACGGGATCCAAAAGAAGATACCTCTTGTTGGACTATTCGCTTGTTTATAGTAAAAAAAGAAGGTCAAGTGTATAAAAATGAGCTTAGTTTTTGTATCTTGTCCCATTCTCTTGGCCTCACATCTCATTTGGGTCACATATGAAACAATAAAATAAAAAGCTGTAAGAGATTTTGCTAAACAAAAATAAAACCGAAAATCTCTTGTATGTAGACTAGACTGTATGTGTTGTGTTTGATCAATCATCGTGTTCTAAAAAGTCTATAAAATTTAGCAGTGTCTTACAATGCAAGTAAGTGTGGTGCCAAAACACACACTGTGAATGAGGCGACTAAATATCTTTTCGAAAACTCCTCTCCTTCTCTCTCATCTACTTGTACCCTCTCCATCTCTACTACACATCACTTCTTTCCATCCAACGACTCTTTCACCAACTCAATAAAATAACGATGTAGACGATCATCCCTCGTCAGCTCCGGATGAAACGCCGTAGCAACAATATTCCCCTGCCTAACAGCAACAATCCTCCCATCATCCAGTTTCGCAAGCACATCCACCCCCTTAGCAGGAACAATCGACTCGACGACCGGAGCACGTATAAACACTCCCGGGAATGGCGTAGTGAATTCCGGCGACAGAGCACCAATGTCGAGGTCAGCAGTAAATGAATCAACCTGTGATCCAAATGCGTTTCGTTTGATTGTAATGTCTAGACCACCTATAAGTGGTTGTCCAGACTCCTTTGTTGCGAGGGCAGTGTTTGAGAGAAGGATCATTCCTGCGCATGTTCCCTGTGGTTAGAAATAACACGTTGGTTTTGGTGCTGTTTGATGTGCTTTGATGATGACCACCAAAAACAACAATGTCACAATGCATACCCAAACAGGTTTAACATCCTGATGAGACCAGCTCTTCAATCCATCCAGCAGGCCCGATTTCTCAGCTACAATAGCCATGGTTGTTGATTCTCCACCTGGCAAGACGAGAGCGTCTAGAGTTGTATCTGCTAGTTGGGTTGATGTTCGGATGTCGATGCATTGTATTGGTTGGGCGGGTGTAGAGAGCTTGTTGAAGAGGTTTATGTGTTCTGCGAATGCTCCTTGCAAGGCTATTGAGATGTCATTGTTAGGACGGATTGCGAGTAATCAAAGAATATCATGAATTTTGAGTGAAAGCTTTTGTAAGCTTGCGGAGGGCAAGTAAAAGAGATGCGCATGCGATCGCAATGGTCTGCTATGAGGCGTTCACTTACCTAGGACGCCGATCCGTACTGGTTTGACTTCGCCCATGTTTTATTTTAGAATGCAAACGATAAGTAAGGTACTTTCAAGCGAGTCATCGCAACTACATCAAGCGCGAAACAGACGCCAAACGGGAACGGCGAAGTCTTTTTACTATGATCTTATCTTTCTCAAAAAGGTGACTAACAAATCGGCGATGAAAACCCACACTAATAATCTGCCCTAACAATTTGCTACCTAATCTCCCTCTCCCTCCCTAAAATACCATGATTCTCCACTCCATGTATCTTAACGATGACCTCCTCCCATACTCATCATAGCAGTGTGAGCTTCTTGAAGTTGAGTTTCCAGGGAAGCAATCCTCTTTCGAAGTTCACATTCCTTCTCTTGCCATGATGCCTTTTCGTTTTCCAAAACGGCTACTTTCAGAGACAAGTTGGCACCATCATTTTCCAATTCACGGACTCGGCCTTCCAAAGCATCCATTCGTGCCACTTTACGAGCTCGAGAGCGTCGTGCAGCTTCCTGTAAAGAGTCAAGATCGTTTCAGTACTGACGCTTTTCAAACAGTCCCGCTTTGACAATCGATTCAGATGTTGTAACGTACGGTATTCTTTTGCCTCTTGGCAACAACAGCATTGTCACTGGAGTCTTCATCACCGTCAACAGAGGATGCACGTTTGCGGCTATTTGGTTGTTTGTTGCCACGTTGTAGCGATCCATGAGCAGTGGTTGAGTCATCGTCTTCATCCTTGATTTCGACGAGGCTTGGAGCAGCAGAAGCAGGCCCCTTCGTACGACCATTATGAGAGCTACTGGTAGATGTAGTAGAGGCTCCAGATGAGTATGATGTCACGTTGTTGTACAAGTCATTGGTGCTATTCTTGTTGCTAACTATGGGGAGTATTTCCATATTGTCGACTGATGCCATGACATTGCGTTTGGGCGATGTGATGTATGTAGCTTTTGGATGAGCCAATTCAGGGAAGAGTGATGCAGAGTTACTGTTCCGGTTTGATGTGATGTTGCTACTAGTAACTGAAGGATTGTATATCATGGAAGTGGCAGTGGATAATGGTGGGGATGGTAGACTACCACCAAAGGTCGAGTATGGCGAAGTTTCCATTCCTTTTACATTTATAGCGGTTTTGGGTGAATTATGAGTGGTGTTACTGAGCGGACTAGATGGTGTAGTAGAACCAAAGTCATCCAACAATGAGTCTGCAGACATTCCAGAAGGAGAGGCCATGTTTGTGTCACCCAACAAGTTGGCTTCAGGTCCTGCATATTCATTACCAACCACTGGTAAGAAATCGAATAGTGAAAAGTCTCGAGCTGATCCTATTATGTTGTAGAAAGTGGAGGTCAGTTTCATGTTTCATGGACCATGAGTAGAATCGAAAAATATTCGGGTAAGTGCCAATAAGGTGGGGAAACGGAGACGGTGAATCCATTGATGATATCATGCTTGATCATGTTCCAAGTCTCCTTCTCTCTCGTTATCAAACAAACATCACAACAAACAAGCTAGAACCTACCATCAAAAAGCTGAGCGAGGTCAGCATCCAAGGATTGTAGAAATGGAGCATCGACGGGTTGAATATCAATAGAGTTTATGACATTAGAGACAACAGGAACAGGAGCCGCTGTTACATTATGTGCCTTGATTGGCAAGTCGAAAGCGGCTACAGTAGGTTGTGATGTAGCGACTCTAGAGACGATATCTACGGGAGCGACGGGAGCGACAGCAGCAGAAGGTATCTTTGGAGCGACGACAGCAGCATGGCCAGCATAAGCACGAGGACCTCCTACTGTTTTTGTTGTCCTGACGTAACTGGAAAAGTTTGAATAACAAGGATGTTAATTAGCATAATGGATGATAGGAAGGAGGGGCTGCTCATCGATAGAGTGGCCTACCACATGGTCAGAGTATTCCTTGCTGGATATAAGCTTGTTTCTCTTTTCTAACTGGGCACCTGTGGTTGAAGGTTTGCAGTGTGGAATTCCCGACCCTGCAAATCAGCAAATAAAAGAAGGCAAGTGGTGTGGCTCGGCCAACGGGACACCCATTACCAACTTCCCAGAAAGAATTAGTCACTCCTAGAAGTCACTCGACACTGGATTCTTCCTGGTCCTTTGGGAACCGATGTTCCAAGTGTCGCAACTCCAGCTCGACCACGTCTTGCAGTTCAGTTTCAGGATGGAACGACGTATTACCTTAACTACCTAGGAGAAATCCTCAAAACTATAATCCTCTGAGCACCACTCGTCGTTTGGCACATGACGCGTCGCATAAATTTCCCCCAACAACCATACGCTTGAACAGTTGGAACGTCTGAAGCTATATGCGCTTTTGCTTGTGCTTTTGCATTTGACTTTTTATATTTGATGGCGCATATACACTACTTCAGTCGGCCGGAATTCGTTGGTTTCTGTTGTCGTGGTGTATTCGACGTCTGCTTGATCAGGCACAGGTCAAGGCTAGTTTCGACCTTTACTGGAGGTGCTGAAGTAGATATTGGCCTTATTCTCCAGGACAAGCATTCGATAGGCTGACACGTCATCTTTCAGACGCGTTATGACGGATGGGTGTAATGCGTCAATGGCACAGCACTACAGCACTGATGCACTTCCTGCAGTTGCTGCAACTCAGTCCTTAAATCCTGACTTGATAACTACATAACCACTTGGGCTCATACCAAAAACGCGTCACAAATCCAATCCTCCAATTCACTTCGTTTCAACACGAATTGTGTGTGAGTGAGATCTGAGATCAGAAGAATCCAACCTCCTTATCTAGATGTCGAAAGCATGTACTTTTATGCGTTAATCGTTAATATCAGTGCAGTGCCTCGTGTCAAATTAGGCAAAACAGAAATTGAGCGTGGCTGTGTAGAGAAGCGGGAGGTCTTTTTGCGCGGGTCCGTTTTTGCCTGGCCTGAAGCAATTTTGAACTGTCCAATTTTTCAAGCCCTGAATATCGAGTGCCTGCCCTGACAAATGGACATTAGACGACTGCAAGATTTACTGGACGCACCGCTTACTAGATATATGCCAGATGGATCTGCTTGTTTACCGTGTCGACGCAAGCTTCGCCGTCAAAGCTGATCTTAACTAAAAAGTTGATAACTAATCTTTTTTTGCACATCTCAATCGCTAGTTAAGAGATTTGGCTGCAGTGGTCAGCTCCCAAAATGTAAAAGATGTCAAGAAAATGGTACCGTGAGTGGTTCTGAAAGATAAACGTGTGCTGCAAACACCAACATTTGCTAAACTACGCAGACTTTTACAACAGGATTGTGTCTATCCATCAAGAAGGAGTGCGCCTCTGAAAAAGGATGGTCCACGAGCCCAGTAAGTGATATTGACATTAGATCAATCTACATCTAGTCCCTAACGACTTTTTCTGGTGCGGTGTTCTAGACAGATTCACCACCTCGAAGAGAAGCTGCATAAAGTCGAGAGTAAGGCTCTCAAGTACCTTTCAAGATACATTTACTCAAGTCCCTCCACTCCTGATGCTGGATCGACGCCAGAAACCTCATGTGAAGAGCTCGACACATCAGAACCCTCTAGCTCTTCATTGGAATCTCTTGAAACCATACCAAGCCCTGCATCAATCTCCAGCACTCTTACAATAACAACCCCAACATCAGTCGTCTCCAATCTGCCAAGGGAACTGATAATCGATCTTGTGAATGCATATTATTCAAAAGGAGCTCTTTCGTACGCATATACCCTCATGTCTAAACCGTTATTCATAAAGACTTGGAAGGCTGGTGAAATACCTGACTATCTGCTAGACGCAATTTGTGCTTTTGGATCCTGGCAGTTGAAGCATGACCCTTCGCTTAGAGCGTTAGTACTTCCTGACGTTCCTATGGAGGTGGACATACAGCCTTATGAAATCGGAGACGTCTTTATGAGATCTGCTCGTTCAGGTATTTCAAAACTCTGGCCACATGTCAAGTGTCTTTGGATTCACTGTATTCCTTGTAGGTGTCTTGCAAGGAATGGACAAACATCCCACAATACATAATGTACAAACGTATTTGATTATGAGTCGTTATTATACACGTAAGTACCTGGCCAGCTTCTTGTTTCGGACAAAGAGTCACCAGCTTCTAATTGTTTCGCTTTAGGTCGTCATCAAATGTCTTTATCGTGGCACTTCAACGCAATGGCTTTGAGGTCTGCAACATTGCTAGGAGTATGTATTTGCTTTTTTTTATTACCAATTCCGAAACCAAAATTCTTATTCCGGCAAACATATAGATCAATATTGATCCAGACTATTTGCCACACACTCCCACTCAGCCCGAAAGTGGATCTCAGCATCCAACAGCTGAACCAGTAGCAGTCAGACCTCGTACATGGGTGGAAAGGGAGTTCTATCGTCGCGTGTTTTGGGGAATCTTTTTTTATGATAGACGTAAGTGTTCTGAACCTAATTTGAATCTGCCCAACGATCAGCATTCACTTACTCACTACAATGTCTTCCTTCGAAAAGTTTTTAGTTTCGCATATGATCGTCCGCCAGGATTGCACGCCGGGATCACAACTAAACTTCCAGCCCCAGAAAAAATGTACAATGAAGCCGATTTGTACAGGGAAGTTGCTCCGATGGGTTCAGACTTGAATCCAGCAGGACCAGATCCATCACTAGGTCGAGATGTGTCTGCCCGTCATATAGAACTTGTACTTCAACTTGAACCATTGATGGTGTTCTTTTTGGGCCAAGCTGAAACGACACAAGTGCAAAGCCTAAGCATCTTCCATGATGCTCCTGCAGTCAGTGCTAATAGGGCCAGTCAAAGTTCAATAATCATGGGATTGAAGAATTGGTACCATTCTCTCCCAGCTCATGTAAGGGACCCGTTAAACAGCCAGTGCGGGTGTGAAGATAAGGATCGGTTCTTGAAGGTGACTATCCACCAAACGTATCATGCTGGTCTCTTATTATTATATCGTAGTCAGTAAGTACGATGTTATGCCTGTTTGACATTGAAAACAAGTTTTTGACGAACTTGGTTTTAGGCTTGCATTGG